AAGTGACCATCAAACACTGGCAGCTGATTGGCTGCCTGGGATTTAATGGAGGCCAATCACAGTGTGCAAAATGTAATTATGGATTTGGTTTAAACTGAGCGTCTTTATCAGCAGCAGCAGCAGATAGAGTGAGATTATTACAGACATCATCCTCATCATCATGTGAAGGAAACTACAGACAGTCAGGGGCAAATTCTGGGCCCTATACACCCTCAATGTCAGTGGGCCCCTATCCATGCCATCTCTCTCTCTCTGTCTCTCTCTCTCTCTTTCTCTCTTTCTCCCTCTCTTCATGCGTAAATCAACCATAGACTGTATATACTATGATCAACTTGGCTCCGCCTTCCATCATTATACAAATTCGTATCACGCGGTTCATGTTGACAGCTAACGTTAGCTAGCCCATAACTGTCATTATACAGCCTAGTTAGCAGCTAGCTAAGCTAAAGACTTCACTGTCTGGAGTGGACTACGTTAACTTTAACTGGACTTTACAGAACAAACAAACTGGGTTCACCTTTGGGATGGGAAGCCGTCAACCGACAAGAAAGCAGCATAATGTCTAACCCCCAGGTCATTCAGTCTGGGCTCACTGACGTTACACTAAACCATCAAGAAAAACAGGCGAGGTGTTTTCAGTGACTCAGTTTGATGATTTTTATTGTTTTCACCCACAATCAGAGACTTCACCACAATCTGAGCTGAGTCAGAAACATAAAAACAGTTGGACTAATGAATGTGATTATTATTAGAGTAATCAAAAAGCTCATAACAACATGTTGATCTGCTAAAAGTCTCAATATACATTCAAAATCTTCAAAATCTGCATCAACTGACGGTGATTTGAACAAACGATCATCATGATGTTGTTGATATGAAACTTTATCAAGATTTTTTTAAATGAGAAATACAAACAATCAAAGTTATCCACAATCACTGTCCTTAAAGCTGCGACCAAATCAGCATTGGGGCCTGACAGGCCAATTTTAATTTTAGCCTGTTTAAGACTAATCGGTAATCAGTCAAAACGATTTTCGCCGATATTTTCAGAAATAAAATGCAGAGAATAAGATTCAGTTTCACTTAGAAAATGTTCCGCCATTTGAAAAGATCCCCCGACTTATCCTGTAGATGGTGCAGCGACCTCATGACGCTCTTCATACACTAACTACCTCACAGCACAGCAGAGTGACGGATCTGAAGCAGGCAGCTCAGGGAGGCATGGAGGAGAGTGGTCCACCTCAACGGGAAATAAACCAGTTTGTGAAATAAGTCAACAAGTTTCAATTCAACCCACTTCACCATGTTCCCCGCTGTGCTGGTCTCGGTCACGCCGAGTTAACGGTGAAGCACCATGTAATATGCAAGCTAAAGTTAGAGTTAGCCACCTGCTATTAGCCTTGCTACACTGTTAGCTGTACTTCTCTTAGTGGTCGGTGTGAAGAGTGGAAGCCTACAGTATATATGTTATAATGTAGATATCTACAGTATATATTAATTTTTTATAACTTAATAAAAAAAAAATGTAAAAAATCGGCCAATTAATCGGTAATCAGATTTTTTCTCCCCTAATAATCGGTATCGGGCCCCAAAAAATCCATATCGGTCGGGCCCGAATCAGCATCTTTAGAAAAGACTGAAAAAGCTGAAATGAAGAACTAAACCGAGAGTTTTTGGTGAGACTGATCCACAAACATTTACAAACCAGAACATTTCAAGAGTTCAATGATCTCATTACATGTTTTTGGTCTGATGGACTCAGAATTCTCTTTATTTCACTTCTACAAACTCAGCATAGCCTTGCATACAATGGAAAAACCCCAGTCCAGCATGTAGCCGCTCAGTGAATCTGGTCTGGACTCTGTGGAGGAGAGTCATGGTTTTAGAGATGCTGTAGAAGGACAGAATACCTGCTCTGTGATCCAGGTACACTCCTACTCTGGAGGACTGAGGACCTGAGAGATCAGTGAGGACACTGTTGTGCTTAAATTTATAACCGTCTTCATAACAGTCTAACCTCCAAGATTTGTCATTGTCTCCAAATCTACAATCATCTGAGTACCCTACTCTGCTGATCGTCTTGTATGCGACTGCTACATAAACCGCGTCCCTTCCCAGCTCCACCTCCCAGTAACAACGTCCAGTCAGACTCTGTCTACTCAGGGCCTGAATCCACTCAGTGAATCTGTCTCGATGATAAGGATAAGACTCGTGTCCTGTAAATGTTATTCTTCTGTTCCCATCAGATAATAACAGCCATGTGTGTGCTGTGTTTGGATCCACTGTAATTCTTTGTGAATATCTTAAGAAACCAGCTCTGGTCTTGGGTTCTGGTTCTGGTGGTTCTAACAGTACAACATCCACTTGAGTCACTGCCTGTGAGACGTTTGTCCACGTCTCTCTCAGAAGATCCTGGAGTTTATCTCTGAGCTCTGACACAGCTGCTGTCACCTCCTTAAAGTATCTCTGAGGTCGGATGTTGATTCTGGATGAGTCTGCAGGTTGACCCGGTCCTGACAGTGAGGGGTAGCTGTGCAGAAACTGGTTGTGGTCCTCTGTGAGTGAGAGCTTCTGCAGATCAGCGTCTTTCCTCTTCAGCTCAGTGATCTCCTTCTCCAGCTTCTCCTGAAGCTCTTTGACTCGACTCACTTCACGTTCCTGCTGAGATCTGACCTGCTGCTCCACGTCAGAGCGGTGTTTCTCCATGAGACGGATCAGCTGGCTGAAGATCTTCTGGCTGTGGTCCACTGCTTTATCAGCAGAGCCGTTGATAGCCTCCACCTCCTGTTGGAGCAGCTTCACATCTTCCTCTCTGTCCTGGATTCTCTGCTGGATGTTTTCTCGACTCTCCTCCAGATCTTTCTGCCTCTTAGTCCTTTCTGCTTCAGCTGAGACTGTGTCGTGGCCTTTGTGTTGGCTCAAACAACAGAGAGAACAGATAGACTTCTGATCAGTGCGGCAGAAGATCTTCATCAGCTCACCATGACGAGAGCAGATGTTCTCCTGGAGCTTCTTGGAGGGCTCCACCAGCTTGTGTTTCTTAAATGAAGGTGATTCAAAATGAGGCTGGAGGTGAATCTGGCAGTAAGAAACCAGACATTGCAGACAGGACTTGACAGCTTTCAGTTTTCTCCCACTGCAGGAATCACAGGCCACATCTTCAGGTCCAGCAACAGAGGAACCATCAGGAGCAGCTTGGAGTCTGCTCTTCTTCACTTCCTCCACTAAACCTGCTAACACAGTGTTTTTCATCAGGACAGGCCTCGGTATGAAGGTCTGCCTGCACTGAGGACAGCTGTAGATCATCCTCTCAACCTCAGTATCCCAGTAGGATTGAATACAGCTCATGCAGAAGCTGTGTCCACAGGAAACAGTCACCGGATCCTTCAGTAGATCCAAACAGATGGAACAAGAGAAAGACTCACGGTCCAGAAGAACTCCTCTCTGCGCCATTTCAACACTCGCTGTCGACGACGACTGACTGAGTTTTATTTCCTGGTCTGAGCTCTTATCTCAAGTCAGCTCAGTATATGTTGGTTACACCCATCTTCAGACTTTGGACCTGATAAGATCTGGGAGGGGAAATCCAGTTTTTTTACAATCCAGAAAGAGGAGCGGCGATGTGAACTTCAGACTCTCAAACTCCAACAAGCAGAGGTTATTAAAGCTGCAGCGGTCCTGAAGATCTGAACTGAACCAACATTTATTCACCTCATATAAACCTCATGGATCACAGAAACACTTCCACTGTTTTATCCTGATATCCACGCATATTTAAATTTACTCCAAAGCCCTGACAGAAAAAAAAGATCATTAAAGATGATCTTCAGCTCAGAGTCACGACAGAGAGAGAAAAAACAACTTTAGATCAGGGCCACATAAACATATTTCAGGTGAATCCAGGTAAGAAAGACTCAGTTATTACATTTCTGACATCAATTATGACACATCAGGACCTGCAGAAGAGGATTTAAGGTTTGTGAAGAGTCCAACAAGAGCTGCAGTTTAAGTTTGTGTGCAATATTTAAAACATACAGTGTGAACATGTCCGTATAAAGGTGCCAAACCTTTTCAAACCGTCCTCTAATCGGTTATTTTCTGTATAACAGTGACACCAAGTGGATAAATAGAGAAGTGCAGGAAGAGGTGCACAGGTCATTTCTATGCAATAAAAAGAGGAAAGAGGGAGGTTTATTGTGTTTTTGTTGGTATTTCTTTTTTTTATTAATTCATTCACACTCTTTGATTCTTATTGTCTTATTGAAACCAGTGCTCTCAGACAGGTGATATTGTTAATTAGGATTAATCAGTTAAATGTTGCAAACGGGACACTGTGGTGGTGTGTGGTGGTGAGGAGGACACTGCGTTTGCTCAAACCTCCCCTCAGATTTCTTCATTTTCATTAATCAGACCTCAGATTTGGTTTGCAGATTGCTTTTCTGTTCATGAGCCCTGAATGAGGTGTTCACTGAACGTCAGTGCTTCCTGATTTCTCTAGTTTGCATATCAAATTTCTCTGCAGCGTCCGTCTGTCTGTGTGTGTGTGTCTCTCTCTCTCTCTCTCTGACTGCAGGTTGTTGTGTTTGAGTCTCCTGATGGTTCTGCTGCAGGATAATGAGTCCATAGAGGTTTTAGACAAACAGATTCAGGACTCAATGAGAGATTCACCCTCAGGGACGCAGCTTAGCAGGAACAATGAGTGATAATCAGGACTGGATTGAAAGAAGAGTGGAGGAAAAGGAAACATCCAGGATAATCCATCTCCCTTTGGTAATCGTTATCTTTGGAAGTATTTCTAATTAAATTTATCTCTTTTTTTCTCTGATTTTCTTTGTTTTGTGACAGCAGAGTGTGCTGCTAATGAACAGATGTGCTGCAAAGAGACCAAACATCAAGGGAAACACACAGCAAAGGAAAACTGTAATTCAAGATACAATAGAAGTACTTCAGGCCTGTAGGGGGCGCTCAGTTTATGTTGAAATTAAGGACGGTCCCTGGCTCTCAAAGCTTTTAACTGCAGTCTCCTCTGTCCTCGGCCCAACTGGGAGTTCTTACAGATCTGTTGAGTTAGAGGAAAGAGGAAGGAAATTAGAGGACAGATAGAGGATTCAGGAGAGCTTTTTCAAAAATGTAATTCAAAACAAGGAGATTATACACAGTTACTACTTCTATGAAAATATTTAATCGTATTAGGCAATAATAATATGATTGTTTTTCATACCATACTATGATATATTTTTCATACTTAAATATATATATTTTTTAACATACGATACTATGATTGTTTGTTCATATTATACTTTTACTTTTAAATCATACTATACAATGGCATTTTTATCATACTATGCTATGATATTTGTTTTATCATACTTTCCCATGATTTTTTATCACACCATACTATGACATTTTTATCATACTATAATGATTTTTTTAAATATTTTCAAACAAATTTTTATCATACTATACCATGACATATTTGTCATTCTATACTGTTACAATTTATTTTTTATCATACTTTCCCATATTTTTTATCAGACTACACTACGACATTTTTATCACACTTTACTGACATCTTAAACATACTTTACTATAAATGTTTTAAACATTATTTTGTTATTATTTTATCACATTTACTTTGTTTTTTTATCACACTATGCTTTGACATATTCTATCCTTTTTTGTATCATACTTAACCATGATTTTTTAATACATATTTTATCATACTATACTTTTTTAGTATTATACTCAACTATGATTTTATAATACTTTACTATGATTTTTTAACATATTTAACCACGGTCTTCATTTCATACTATACTGACATTCTTATCATACATTACTATGACATTTTTAATCACATAAGGCTATAATATGAAAGTTTTTTCATACTATTCTGTGAGGTTTTTTCAAACTTAAATATAATTTTTTAACATACAATACTATGATTGTTATGTCATATTATACTATATCATATTATACTATCACTTTTTTATCACACTATACAATGACATTTTGATAATACAAACTATTAAGGTTTTTTATCATAATTTACTATGATTTTCTTATACTATACTATGACATTTTTATCATTCTATACTGTTACAATTTTTTAAATCAATACAGCTCATGCAGAAGCTGTGTCCACAGGAAACAGTCACAGGATCCTTCAGTAGATCCAAACAGATGGAACAAGAGAAAGACTCACGGTCTAGAAGAACTCCTCTCTGCGCCATTTCAACACTTGCTGTCGACTACTGACTGAGTTTTATTTCCTGAGAAGTGAAACTAGTTTGAGCTCTGATCTCAGATCATTATATGTTGGTTACACCCATCCTCAAAGTGTAGATCTGAAGGGCAGGGAAAAACACGAGACAGGAAGAGAAAAAGGAAGGTACTGTGTGAGAGATGAGGAAGGGGAAATCCAGCTCTTGTATACACTAGGAAGATGTGAACATTAGACTCTAAAACTCCAACAAGCAGAGGTTATTAAAGCTGCAGCGGTCCTGAAGATCTGAACTGAACCAACATTTATTCACCTTTTTTTATCATGCATTTTATCATACTATACTTTTTTGTTTTATACTCAACAATGAATTTTTTAACACTTTACTATGATTTTAAAAAATATATTTTATTATGGCCTTTTTTCATTCTAAACTATGACATTCTTATCATACGTTTCTAAGAAATGTTTGTATCATATAAGGCTATAATATAAATGTATTTTCATTCTATACTATGATATATTTTTCATACTTAAATGTATATTTTTTAACATGTTATACTATGATTTTTTTTATTATATTATACTATTCCTTTTTTAATCATACTAAACAATGTCATTTTGATCATACTGTAATGGGAAAATTTTTATCATACCCAACTATGATTTTCTATTCATTCTATAGTGTGACATTTTTTTTAACATACTATACTATGACATTTTTATCATACTGTAATATGACATTTTTGTCATATTATACTATGACATTTTTATCATACTGTAATATGACATTTTTATCATATCATACTATGACATTTTTATCATACTGTAATATGACATTTTTATCATACTGTAATATGACATTTTTATCATACTATACTATGACATTTTTATCATACTGTAATATGACATTTTTATCATACTATACTATGACATTTTTATCATACTGTAATATGACCTTTTTATCATATTATACTATGACATTTTTATCATACTGTAATATGACATTTTTATCATACTTTAATATGACATTTTTATCATACTATACTATGACATTTTTATCATACTGTAATATGATATTTTTATCATACTATACTATGACATTTTTATCATACTATACTATGACATTTTTAACATACTATACTGACATTTTTTATCATACTTTCCCATGATTTTTTATCACACCATACGATGACATTTTTATAATTATCTAAGAATTTTTATCATACTATACAATGATGTATTCTTCATACTATTCTAGTACACAGTATTTTTTATCATACTTTACGATGACTATAACTTTTTTTATCATACTGTACTTCTTCATTTTTATCATGCCATACTAAACATTTTTTTTTACTATTCGATAATTTTTCAAACTATAATATGATATTTTTATCGTACCTATGACATTTTTTAACCCAATATACAGTGACAACTTTTACTATACTTTCCTATGATTTTTATTAAAATCATACTTTACTGACGTTTTTTTACCATACTTTTCTGTTTTTTTTTGTTTTATCACATTATACTACGATTTTTTAATGATTTCTTTTCACCATATTATGATATATTTTATCTTACAATACATCTTTTAGTATTAGACTTAACCAAGGTTTTTTTTTAATACTTTACTTTTCTAATTATTTTTTTTATCATATGTTACTATGGCCTTTATACTATCCTATGACATTTTTATCATGCAATTCTATGAAATTTTTTATCATACTATCCTATGAATTTTTTAATCATACTATACTATGACATTTCTATCATACTATATTATGAATTTTTTTTATCATATTATACCATGATATGTTTATCATATTTTATCACACTTAACCATGATTTTTTCATCATACTAACCTATGTAATTTTTCATCATACTTTACAATGATATTCTAATTATACTATTCAATGACGTGTTTTATTCTTCACTAAAATATCTTTTTTTTATTATACTTAACTATGATTTTTTAAAATACTTTGCCATGATTTTTTTAATCATATTTTACTATGACATTTTATCATACTACACTATAACATTTTTGTCATACTTTACTATGTTTTTTTTTATTATCCTTTACTATGACATTTTGATCATGCTATACTATGACATTTTGTAATCATACTACACTATGATATTTTTTATGCTATAACATTTTTATCATACTACACTTAGGGCATGAGCTTTGTCTTTTATCTCTGACTTTGGCTCCTGGACTTTAAAAATTCACCTAGACCTGGACAAGGATTGAACCCACCACCTCAGGAGTCCCGGTCAGTCTTCTTGCCCTCTGAACTATGTGGACACACAAAAGGATTCTGTTTGTTTCCTCTTTCACTCTCCTGTCTAGGCACTTGACTTTAATATTCAACTCAACCTGGATCTGATTAAAATAAAGAGACTAAAAGTCACAGTGTGTTTGTGTGTTTTTTTATTCAGGAACTTGTGGGAAAAAAAAAAAAAAAAAATTCACAAAAGGAAAAACCCCACAATAGGTCCTGAAGAAAAAGAAGAGAGACAGTTTGTCACATTTAACTCGACATGTCTTTTGAAACAGTAAATACAAGTGAAAAGTTTTAAAAATGTGCTGAAGATCTGCTTGCAATTATTTTTGCATTACTGTCAGAGAGCTAAGATAAGTCTATGAATGAATGATTGAGTAATTAAAACTTCAGCTGTGATTGGTGTTCTTGTTCTTGTGTCTATCACATCAATAAAATGTGGTACTTTTAACTCCAGTGTTTCATCTGATTAGTTCATGATAAAAATAAAATTTTATCGTATAGTATGATAAGTATGTCATAGTATAGTATGATAAAAATGTCAATGTAAAGTATGACAAAAATGTCATAGTAAAGTATGGTAAAAATTAAAGTATAGTATGATAACAATTTCTCAGTATAGTATGATAAAAATAACATTGTATGGTATGATAAAAAATAATAGGAAAATATGATGAAAATGTCATAGTATAGCATGATTATAAATGTGTATGTAATAAGTAGTATGACAAAAATGTCTTAGTTTTATATATCAAACAATTACAGTATAGTATGATAAAAATGTCTTAGTATAGTATGATAAAAATGTAATAGTATAGAATGATTATATAATCATAGGAAAGTATGATAAAAATCACAGTACTGCTTGCCTTAAAATAAAAAAAAACATAGTAAGGGATAAAATAAAATAGTATAGTATGATCATAAATTTCAATGTATAGTATGACAAAAATGTCATGGTATAGTATGATATAAATTAACATGGTATTTTATATATCAGAAAATTTAATAGTATAGTATGTTAAAAATGTCTTTGTAAAGTAAAATAAAAATGACACAGTATAGTATGATAAAATTAATAGGAAAGTAAGAAATAAAATTGTCATAGTTGAGTATGATAAAGATGTCATAGTATAGTATGAGTAAAAAACATAGAAGGATAATATAAAATGTCATATAGTACTATGATAAAAAATGTCAATATATGGTATGACAAAAATGTCATAGTATAGTATGATAAAAAATAGCATTGTATAGTATGATAAAAATGTCTTAGTATAGTATGATAAAAATGACATATTATAGTATGACAAAAAACAATAGGAAAGTATGATAAAAATGTCATAGTATAGTATGGTAAAGATGTCAATGTATCGTATGACAAAAATGTCACAGTAAAGTATGTTATAAATTCACATAGTATAGTATAAAAAAACAGGAAATTATGATAAAAAATGTCATAGTAAGGTATTACAGGGATGTAATAGTATTGTATGATGAAGAAAAAAATATAGTAAATGATAATATAAAACGTCATAGTATAGTTTGTTAACAAATTTCAATGTACATCGTGAAAATAAACATCATACTATAGTATGATAAAAATTACCACAGTATAGTATGATAAAAATCTCTTAGTATAGTATGATACAATGACATTGAATAGAATGATTAAAAAATTATAGAAAAGTATGATAAAAAATGACATAGGTTATAGTTTGTTTAAAACATCATAGATAAGAGTAATAAAAATGTAATAGTATAGTAGGATGAAACATATCAATTTATAGCATGACAAAAATGTCACAGTATAGTTTGATAAATATTAACATAGTACAGTATGATAAAAATGTCATGATAAAGTCAGATAAAAATGACTACAGTATAATCAAAAAACAAAGTATATTATGAATAAAAACATGTCAATTTATAGAATGACAAAAATGTCAAATGAAACATTTACAGGAAAGTCAATCATACTTGTGCTTATGTTTTTCTCATGCAGCGAATTACACAAAAAAAAAAAACACATTATCGTCAGCTGATTTGTGATTTTCGGTGAATACGTTTTTTAATCATAACCCTCCATGTTTTCTTTAAGTCGTGCCTCATCTACAACGCAGTAATTAAATTTCCAGTAATGAAAACACCGAAGAACTTTAGAAACACACATGATAACATCATCTGAGTGTAACAAAAAACACAGCAGAGGTAGAGAAACAATGGACTTTAATACATAGCACATAAACATAGATACAATTCTTTAAATATATATTGAATTATTGTTTTCCTCTGAGCTTCATTAACCAAAAGTCTTCAGCTGCAGACACACAAACACACACACACACATTACATCTTTACCGCTGATCATCATTCAGCAGTTATTCTCAGTCTCACTGAACTGGAGATTTAACTGAACACTGATCCTGACTCTTACTTCCGTTTATGCTCCGTTTTTTTCCCCTGAAACTTCCTGTAAACACTCACCGATGATCAGTGTGTTCCTGTGTTTGTGTTGTCTGACTGCTTCATAAACTTCCAGCCGTCAGCACAGAGGAGTTCAGTCACAGTTTGGCTCTAAAGACAGAAAATCACAGACCAAAACACCTACAGACAGAAAGTTAAGATGTCTCACTCTGCTCTATTTTCCTGGCACCAAAGATAAGATCGAGTTTCTCGTGTTTTTATCTCTTATTGTGAGGCCTCTGGTTTGACAGCAGTAAAATATAACTTAAATAAAGTCCAGAAAAGACACAAAAGGCCCTTTGTGATATTAAATTACGCTATATTAGTGTTATTGAACAGGTTTTATCACTGTTATATTTCTGTTTTCAACAGAGCAAATAATAATTCAATCAATAATCAATAGTTTTAATATTTTCTGGAAATATGATATATAAATTAAAAGGAAAAATACTATTTAGTTTTTTATTCATACTTTTTTAAGGAATGAACTAGGGCCCGGACGGTATTGATTTTTTGAGGCTGATACCGATATCGATCATTAGAGGGGAAAAAAATCCGATTACAGATTAATAGGCTGATTTTTAACATTTTTTATGGACTTATAAAAAATATATATAAACTGTAGATATCTACAGAATAATATATATATATATATATACTGTAGGCTACTGCTCTTCATGCCGACAGGAAGACCGACTGATCAAACTTGGACTAGAAAAGCGTTTTCAACTAACTACTACCGCAGCCGCCGATCGGTGTCTCCGCGTCTTAACTCACGTTACTCATTTCCGGTCCGGTGTCATCTGGAGACATGCAGCTGCCTCAGTAAGAGAAGTAGCTCGATCACTCAATGTGTACTGTTATTTATTCTACCGTTACTGGCACGGCTAACAGTACAATAGCAGATGGCTAACTCTAACTTTAGCTTGCATATTACATGGTGCTTCACCATTAACTTGGCGTGACTGAGACCAGCACAGCGGGGAACATTGTGAAGTGGGTTGAACTGAAACTTGTTGACTTATTGTGTATTTCACAAACTGGTTTATTTACCGTTGAGGTGGACCACTCTCCTCCGTGCGTCCCTGAGCTGCCTGCTTCAGATCCGTCACTCTGCTGTGCTGTGAGGTAGTTAGTGGATAAAGATTCTCATGAGGTCACTGCGCCATCTACAGGATAAGTAAGGGAACTTTCCAAATGGCGGAACATTTTCGAAGTGAAACCGAATCTTATTCTTTGCATTTTATTTCTGAAAATATTGGCGAAAATCGGCGAGTTTTGGCCGATTACTGATAAGTCTCAAACGGGCTAAAATTGGCCACTTCAATCGGCTCGCCAATAGATCGGTTGGGCCCGAGAATGAACCTTTTTCTTTATTTGATTTGATTTTTTCTGATTTAGAAATCAAGAGAAAATCAATCTTTGTCATTTAATTTTCTATGACTGTGGACTGAACCCACTCCAGGAAGCTTTGACGCCTCATTATCAAGTTAAATTTGGGTTTATTTAGCGGGCGGAGCTTGACGTCAGATCGTGACGCTCCAAAACTTGGATACAGGCAGAGTTAGAGCCTTGTTTTCCTGCAAAGACACCTCCTGCTTTATTGCACCTGTTGGACAAACAATATCTCTACTGACCTGAGAAATACAGACCCACACTGTCGACTCTCCAGTTACTCTCATTTATTTACAGCTAATCTCACGACAGAGGACGGTGTCAGGTGACATCTGCGCCATACGGTCGTTGGTTTTGGTCTTTACATAAGACTTGTTGAGGATAATAAATGTCTGAATCCTTGAGCTTAGCCTCCAGGTGGCGTGACCTTCATCCGTGTACTTTGTATTCATGCACGGCTCTTGAAAAAGTTTTGAACATTGTCGTCTGAATTCAGTGTTTGTTTTTTATCAGGTGAATGTGAACATAAGCAATGGAACTCAAACATAGCAGCCTGTTAGTGTTAGTTTACTGAATCCACATGCAAATACACAGCTGAGCAACAACTGATGAAAGTAATTCAAGCTTTTACCGGGGTGGTGTCAATCTGGTGCTGTCTGCTAAAACGGGTCATCCAAAGGTCAGTCATGGGAAAGTGGCGTTTTCAAGTGCGTCCCCCTTTTATGGGGTTGTTATCTGATGCAGCAGTGAAATGTTTTTTTGTGAGTATTTTACCGTCAAACCAGAGGCCCCGACCGTTAAAATGTGCAGGACTCCGAAAGCATCAGACAGAGTGAGAACTACAGCTCCCATCAAAGTCCAGAGAGCAAACACAAACCTGTCCCTGCTTTTTCTTCTTCTGTCTCTTTCAGCTGATGATGAAGACTCTGGGTCCATCTTCTCTCATAGGAGGCAGACTCTCTATCACCATGTTGTCCATCAGTCCATATTTATCCTCTTTTTTATTCCTACTTCCTCCTCCCCCCACTGCTGCGTGTCGATTGGCTGAAACTTCTACTGAAAGCTCCTCCCTCTCCACCGGCTGAGAGAGCTGACTGGTTAGCTCCGCCATCGTCACCTGTAAGACATAAGAAGTGTTTCAGATGTGGTTAAGAAAGGACTCTATGGGGATCATCAGAGTCCATATCAGGGGTATCTTCCACATCTGTGAAGGGTGGAGTAGTCAGAATCTGAGATACTTCCAGTTTTTAGGAGAAATCTTGAATGTAAACTCTACCCCTCCCAACCAGTTTTCCCCTCAGCTCCTCCTCTCTGCTCCAGCAAGCCCCGCCCACAAACAGACGCTCCTGCTCGCTCGTTTCATTCCAATGAAATTCAGATATAATGCAGATAAATAATTCAGATAATTACAAATGGGGCCCAGTCAACGTGAACGTCAAATGCATTGGTGCTACTGTAGATGCCAACAGACTACCAGCAAACACAATGTTTGCAGGACTTCTACAACTAGGATAAAGTGACATAGTCCAGGACCCGAGGTCAACAGTTTAGCGGCGCTGCAACACGCTACAGCAGGTCCGTTTGATAAGAAACACTTCTGTTACAGACACTTGGCTTACTTTGTTAAAGCGGTTTACCTGTCCAGCAGAAAGGTTACAGGGTCACCAAGATCCCCAAGCGTCCCCCATCGTTTAAGTTGACCCGGGTTTTAGCTCTTGTCTGGTCTACCTCCGTTTTAAGCGCCTGTTATTCCTCCAGAGTCTCCGGTATTTACTTTGTTTTCTTGCTTGTGTTGGCACTCGTGGCCAAAGGAGGATTCAGACAATTTTCCGTACTTTCTGGTTGGTTTCTACTATCCGATATTGTAGCACGCTAACTTTGTTTGGGCTTGTGAACGTTATTTGAGGACGTGGAGCGTGCCTCACAACATAAGGGAGCAACGTCTGCCTCACAAACAATCAGCACGAGGGAGGTGGAGAAGACTTTGTTTACAGTCAGAAAGAGCGGACCGCTTAAAAAATTAAAAATGTTGACTACACAGACATAAGAGAACACAGCGATATAATGTTAATTCCCAAATATCATCAATAACTAATAACTAAGAAAGAAACTAAATAACAAAGAAAGATGCTTCTTTAACAGAATCTTGCCTACCCCAGCTTTAATGCTGAACCATATCTCCAGGTTTAGGAGCAACATCTGCTGCCATATAACCTTCAATTCATCCCAAACCACATTCTGACTACAGTGATTACAACAGCATGGCTCTGTAGGAGAAGTGTCCTGCTGAGAAACTGGACTGATGCGGTCCTGACTCGTCCCTCATTGAAAACATTTGGAGCATCATGACCCCAAAAACAGGACCAAGGAGACCCTGAACTGTTGAGCAGCTTAAACCACATCAAACATATTAAGTAGAGAAAGATGGAAACATGCTGATCTGAACCTCTGACTGAGCACCTACCTGCAGATCTTTGAACAAGTGTAGCATGGCCACGCCCACCACAATAACCAGGAAGGATCCCAACGTTGTGATCACATCCACAGTCTCCATGCTCCTCCACTCCTGGAAGAGGATGATGGAGGAGCACAGGACCACGGAGGTGAAGAGGACGTAGTAGATTGGGTAGACCAGCAGGGTGTTGAAGGTGTCTAAAGACTTATTCAGGTAGTTCACCTGCAGGTAAGCGAAACAGGAGGATTAAAAAGACATATATCAACACGTGTTTATGTATTTTTCTTGCTCTTCTCTTCTAAATTTCATTCTCCACAGGAAACGAGGGTGAAATAAATCAAAATAAAGAGATGAGATGAAAAAAGACATGATTTGTTTTACCTGTGTTATTATGGAGATAACGAGAGCCAACAATAGGATCCAGGTGAGAGGACTAGCAAGCACTGAGATATCATAAAACACTAAAACACAGAGAGAGGATAATCAGAATCGACGTGTTTAACTTTGTTATTTGTATGTAAAGTTAGTGGTATTAAATGGGAGGGTTAATATAGCAAAAGAAAAGAGTATGTAAATTGTACGAAGTTATGTGTAAGAGCACTGTGGAGAATATCTCGTACCAGTATTGATGGCGATAGCGAGGCCCTTCACAGACGAGACGGTGAAAGCTCCAAGCAGCGAGCAGATGCTGATGTAGATGAGGATGTTTGAGCGACCGATCCGAGGAGAGAAATACAGAATGAGGACGGCACACAGCACCAGAACCAAAGACATGTAGACTAGGAACCCTGAAACACACAAGACATGGCAGTGAAGAGACCTGCAGAAGTGGAGCAGATACAACATATCTGTGATTAACATGTAGCATGAGACAGTCATTTAGAGACCCAGGAGAGTCCTGATACAATCATGTTTATGTTCAACAGAGGAACGTTTGCGAAATGTTAGCATACGATGTTTCATAAAACAATAAAAAAAACGCAGTCGGACTCGGACAACTAATTCCTCACCAGGTCCGAGCAACTTGTCAGTCATTTCCTGCAGTGATGTCACTTCCTGTTCCTGGGGGGCGTGGATAACCAGCAAAATACTTCCCAGGATGCAGAGCAGACAGCCGAGCTTCCCCACCACATTCAGCACCTCCCCCAACAGGTGGGAGGACAGAACTGCACTGAAACACGCATTTAAAACAGAAATATAAATCTGTCTGTTTAAACTGTCTTTTAATTATTAATTTTGAATATTTTTGTCTTGATTAAGTCCATCTTTAAAGCAACCTTTGAAATCTACCTGATGAGGACGCTCAGGGCGCCCAGTGGTGTCACCAGCGTGGCGGGCGCGAACATGTAGGCAGCAAAGTTACACGCCTCTCCAGCCCCCACTTCAGAAAAACAGAAAGAACATTTTAAAAAATCAACATATGTAAAACTTTATTTGTTTTTAAAATCATTTTTCTGTCATATTTGCACCAAGAAAATTTACAAAACAGAAGAACTAAAATTCAAAGCTCAAAGCGTATTTCTGTCTGTCCTGTGCAGTTCAAAAAACCACAACATTAACAGTATAAGCAAAGAAAATAACAGAGGCACATTTATTCTGTCATTTCTGTTTCAATTATTAAATATTTTACATTTCAAGAAAGAATTTTAATAAAGAATGTCGCAATTTCTACTCATAACTGAGGCTGTCCATAGTTTGACTCCACACAGCATTTTATCTATCCCATAATAAGTCAAATATACATCATGGTTAAAAAAAAAAAAAAGTAATTATAATGATAAACAGATCTTATATTTTGAGAATTAGCTGTGAACTAACACGTCCATAGTCCCAGGGCAGGAGTCATTAAGTGATAACTTCTTTATATGAAATCATTTTTTTAACTTTATCTTTTCAGATTCTTCTTTTTTTGCCATGATTCATATTCGCCCTGAGCCAAAATAATTTATATCATCTGCAAATGTAACACATTTCCGTAACACTTTACTTGACGCCTATCTTTATAACGCATTATAAATATATGTATAATGCATTATAATCACATTATAGCACAGTATAAATATAGTTATAAACACACATAAATGATCATAATGCTTTATAGCAATAATCACAACACAGTATAAAGCATTTTATCATTACCTAAAAGGTCAGGTGTTATAACGTGTTATAACTGTTAACAACTCACTGACAATGCCCACATAGATAATGCAATGCAACTATTGTTAACAGTTATACCTGAACTTTACGGTCATGATAAAATGCTTTATAATGTGTTATGATTATTGCTATAAAGCATTATGATCATTTATGAGTGTTTATAACTATAATTATACAGTGCTATAATGTGATTATAACACATTATACATATATTTATAATGCTTATAGAGATAGGTGTCGAGTAAAATGTTACCCAAATTTCAAATAATCTGTAACTCTACAAAAATCCTCTGAATAAAATATGAATAACCTGGGCCCCAGTACTGATCCTTGTGGCACACCACAAGTAACTTATCAGCGATATCAACCTTTTGTAATTTATTTCTAAAACAGCTTTCTACCCCTCTTACACCAAACTGTTCTACTCTCTGCAAAAAGTCGTGTCTACTGAGTCAAATATTTTACATAACTCAACAACTATGGTGACTTTGGGTAACATATAAATTAACAGCACATCCTCAAATCTGAAATATCTCCTCTTATAAGTTCATCTTAGACTAAAAAAGAGCTGTGAATAATAAATTCAGACAGACACAAATGTCTTACTGGTCAACAGGCCTCCCCACCACAGCCAGTCCTTTAGGTAGCCGTGTCCTCCGTCACCTACACACACATTAAAACACAGAAGTTAAATAACATTAAAGTAAAAGTGAAAACTCTGAGTGTAATATGACAAAACTGGATGAATAATTCTGACTTAGAATAAAAATCTTTTAAGTGTAATTAATCAGTGTCTAATGTTTCATTTTTGTTGTTTTCTCACTTAAACTGTTTGGTTTAGTTTTCAGTAAAGCAGCTGATCTCTGTGAAGTGATAACAAAACAAACAATAAGAAACCCGTCCCTCCAACTTGAGTAAATTTCCATTTGACTGATCGTTACATAAGACAAAATAAACCAAGATAAAGCAGTCGTGTTTTATCTGGAGTTGTCCTTATGGCTGAATTGTGGATGGCAGAACTATGTAAACATTTAGACACTAAAACCCATAATGTGTCTGTTTAACATCCTTTTGACTTCACTCAGACTTTTATTTTCCATCAAGGGCTTATCTATGAAAATCAACTTTTCAGAGTTTTGAGCTTTTTGTCCTTTTATCAGTCCACGGTGTCTTCGTATTGTCATTAAACTGAACCTTAGATGCCGACAAATGATGGAGACAGACAGAGAGTAGAATAATCTCTTGTGACAACCAAGGTTTAAGGAGAATCAACTCTGTTTCATACTTTATTTGATCACTCAATGTTCAATTAATTCCCTCAGTTTTTTATTCTTGGAGAGCGACAGGGGGCGAGGTTCAACAAATCACAACAGTTAAAAAGCTCCAAACAAAAATTGACCAAATATACTTTTTTTCTGTCATGATTACTTTGGCTTCAATAACTACATGAAAAACCATCTGTTTGGTTTCTCATGCGACTGTAAAAGGAGGTCAGATGTTGTCCTCTCCTCACCTGCTCGGGTGTGTCCGTTGCTGGCCAATCGGAGGAGAGCTTTCTTCTTCAGGATGACACTCCCACCAATCAGGAAGGCGGACAGCAGAGCCAGAGTCAAACCGAGCCACAGGTTGTAGGAGCTGCGTGTTTGTGGATCTGCAGACAAATATTCGATCAGCTGAGTGTGTGTTTATGAGGGTGTGGACCTGCGGAGTGTGTTTAATGACTCGGTCTGACCTCAAAGACTTTATTCAAAGGGGACAACAGAGACTCCAGTGAGCTCTTTGTGTTATGTGTTTGTGTTATCCAACGTACATTCATGTGCTTCGATCTACAGATTCTTGTGTATATTTGAGTTTGTATTTAAAGTGTCATGTGAATGTTTAACAGACTTTAATGTCCAAGATGTCTCAAATGGAGGGTGTTACTGAGTCTTAAAGGTGGGGTAGGCAGGAATCCGTTAAAGAAAAATCTTTTTTTGTGGTGTTTATACAAAAAATATTTTAATATCAGTCAATAGTTATTAGTTATTGATGACATTTGGTAATATAACAATATCGCTGTCCTTCGTTTTGTCTGTGTAGTCAACATTTTAAAATTTCAGAGTGCTCCGTTCTTTCTGACAGTAAACAAAGCCGTTCCCCGCCTTCCCCATCCTGATTAGTTGTGAGGCAGACGCTGCTCCCCCGTGTCGTTCACGAGCCCAAACAAAGTTAGCGTGCTACAATATCGGACAGTAGAAACCAACCAGAGAGTGCGGAAAATTGTCTGAATCCTCCTTTGGCCACGACTGCCGACACAAGCAAGAAAACAAAGTAAATACTGGAGACTGGCAGAATAACGGGCGCTTGAAACGGAGGTAGAGCTAAAAATCCGGGTCAACATAAACGATGAGGGACGCTTGGGGATCTTGGTGACCCTGTAACCTTTCTGCTGGACAGGTAAACCGCTTTAACAAAGTAAGCCAAGTGTCTGTAACAGAAGTGTTTCTTGTCAAACGGACCTGCTGTAGCGTGTTGTAGCGCCGCTAAACTGTTGACCTCGGGTCCTGGACTATGTCACTTTATCCTAGTTGTAGAAGTCCTGCAAACATTGTATTTGCTGGTAGTCTGTTGGCATCTACAGCAGCACCAATGCTTTTTACTTTCACCTTGACTGGGCCCCATTTGTAATTATCTGAAGTATTTATCTGCATTATATCTGAATTTAATTGGAACGATACAAGCAAGCAGGAGGATCTGTTTGTGGGCGGAGCAGAGAGGGAGGGGAGAGGAGGAGCTGAGGGGAAAACTGGTTGGAAGGGGTAGAGTTGACATTCAAGATTTCTCCTAAAAACTGGAACTTCCTCAGATCCTGACTACCCCACATTTAAGTCCACGCAAGGTTTGTGTTTAAAGATAAAAGATATCAGTGATTGGAGTTCACCAAAAACCAAGTAATCATCATATTGATCAGAATATGGGACAATGTCAGGGTAGAGTACAGTCCGACATCGAAACACAAGCAAGAAAACGAACCCATTATTATTTAATTCACTTAAAGACGACAAGATGAGATCTTTGCCTGAAAAGACTGTTTCACTTGTACAAAATTAGAGGCGTCACTTTTTCCACAGGGGGCGCCAAACCTGGCACAACTAAAGGTTCCTCATAGTGGCTTTAAGAGGTTGTTCGCTGTACCTACAGAGGAGTGTGAAAACAGTGTAGAGGGCGTTGGTGTTATCAGGAAATAACCTTTAAAAGTTGAACAAAGAAACACCAGCTGAGCAGAGAGAGAAGGAAGACTGAAAACAATCTGTTACCTGATACCACGATTCAATAATAAACAAAGTTAACCTACAGCCCACAGGATGTCTGCCAACTTTGTCTTATATTTAAGTTTCTCCTTTCCTTTTACTTGATAACTGTAACCTGAAACAGCATCAAAATATAAGTGCTGTGTAAAAACAAGGGGAAGGGGACACACAGAGAACAGATCGAGTTTTTGTTTTGCTAAGCTAACAATCAAATAGAGTCTGCTTCGTCCTTTTCTTCCTCTTAGTCCGACCGAGTTGTTATCTTAATGATCGCACTGATTAAACAGCATCTCTTATTTAGACAGACAGATCTGAGCACGTGTTAGATTCAGCCGCTTCATTTGAATACCTGTGAGCAGGTTTGATCACTTTCTATTCTTTGAAAATGAAGAACAACATATGAAACTGTTTCTGTAACTCTGACTGTTTTTAATCCAACCTACTGGACACAATACAACTGAGCTTTATTCCTCTTCTCCCTCACTGTATTGTGTAAATGAGGAAGTCTTTCTCTCGTTAATAATGCAAAAAAACTAAACAATATGTGCGAACTCTCTCTGCACAGTCATGTTTTCTGCTTTTGAACCAAAGACGACTGACATCCTAACATGGATAATCTCAGAGAACACATTTTATATTCCCTTATCTTCCAGTGTTTTGTTTATCTAAACACAAACAGATTTAATGTTGGTAATAATAAATAAAATTTGCCTCTAGTTTATATTTACTTTTTAAGATCATACGGAGTTCAACAAGGCTTATAAAACTCATAAATAGAGATGTTTACACACAACTTTTGTTTAAAAAGAATATAAATAAGTTCAATAGAGACTCTTTGAAACTCTTTCATGCTTATTGAAGAGGTGTGAGTCTGTGTGAAGGTGTACCTGACGTGTGGTTGTTGTCCAAGTGTGTGTTAATCAGCGGCTGATTCCCCGAGACCACACACACCGCGGACTGAGAGCCGCACCACAGCCGAACCACCGACCCTGCAGAGACAGAGACGAGCCTGTCAGCTTTGATATTCTGGGACTTTTTATTTCATTTATCTTCATTTATAGTTTGAATATTTGACCCTAAAGAAGTGTCACAGTTTAAGTCAAAGAGAAGGAGTAAAAGAACACACATATGTATACAATACAATATGCTATGATGCAACACACTTCGCTACGATATAATACAGTCTGATATGATACGATGCGAGACCATATATTTCACATTTTTATTCATAATTTTAATTTCCCAATCCAGGGCTCGACGGTGCAATCATTTCACTCACATTTGTGACTAAAAATAGATGTATGCGAATTGCAAAATGTATTTGGGGTCACGTGTGTCTAAAAAATCAGCCGAGGCAACAAATGTTAGTTTTACGATATTCGACGGACATTCACTGCTGATCTACCAGTGTCTTCTCACTCTCCATAACCTGGAATAACAACAGCAGCGTGGTTAAATCTACTCGACACCCTCACTGTCAATGTCGAGTGTTGAATAAGGGACCATCAATAAATTACCGGTTGATGTTCTAAAAAAAAGGCTGTTTTCCTTCAATAGCTTACAGTTTGCACAATAAGGAATGTCATTTTATTTAAATTTCATTTATTTGTTATTATGTTCATGTTTATTCCACTGGCACATTACTTTGTTGTTTAAGTACTTTTTAAACATTTTGAATATATTTCAATACCGTGATTATATCGATAATCATGATAATTTTGGTCACAATAATAGTGATGTTAAATTTTCATGTTGTTACATCCCAAACTGACAATGATGGAGTGATGAGCAACAATGAGCTCTACCATACGGGTTGTCTCAAAGGAGGAAGGAAAGAAAAGACCTCTTGGAGGAAAGTGAGTTAAGAAGTTGGATTATCTGGTATGTTATAAAACACAATTAATCCCCACAGTGTCATTAACCTCAGCCATGTTTGATGAAAAACAGACTGAAATGGCGTGAAGGAACCGTACGGCAGAGAAAGCAACATTCAGGTTTTCAGCTGCCACCCCTACTATGACATAATTTTTTAATCATAAACTGTCAATAAAATAATATACGAAGCAAATCGAGCATTTTCAAACCAAATGGACCTTCTGTTTAGAGTAGGAAGTATTTCATGAATCACCGCCGACTTCCTCCAGACAACGACGACGCGCAGATATAATGTGAAAGACACAGATGTGGATTCAGCGTTTGCAGAGGGGGACTCTGCTCTCTCTGAACCCGTTAATCTGATGGCTGTGAAATACTGGTTTGACCACTGTGCTGGTTAGAGTAACATGAGCAGTTCAATATTTACATAGTCAACACTGAGGCCTCACTGCACACAACACAGTCTGAGCCGAATAACTCAACAGAACAAGGTTTCTATGTCAGATGTTATAAGTGATTAACTTTGACTAACTGTTGAAAAAAGTACAACCGTCAAATGTTGTGCAGGCCGGCTAACGGTACCTAAAGTCTCTAATAGTCTGGGGGGTACAGGCTGCAGTTATCAGGTCCTTCTCCTTATCATCAGAGTCTGAGAGGCAGACGTGCTTTATATCAGGGACTAAATTTTCCTGTGATGACGCTGGCAGATAAATCTTCTAATGAGAATAACCAAGCAATGTGAGAACACCAGCGCCCCTGATTTCTGTCTGCAAGGTTGGTTTATGATCTACAATAGAGACGAATAAATAAATCTAAATTAATAACTTGTTTGTCAGAAATATTTCCATTCATGATTTGTGTTTGTAGCCATTGAACATAATTTTAAATTAACTATATAAAGTATAGTAGAACTGTTCAATGAGGAAAAAAAGAAAAATATATAATAATAATAATAATAATAACAATAATAATAGCAATAATAAAGTAAATTATAATAACGGTAAAATAATAATAATGGTAAAACAAAAAAATAAAATAAATAAATAATGGTAAAATAATTATGATAATGGTAAGAATAATAATAATAAAAAAGGATGTTAAAAAATAAAATAAATAATAATCATAATAATAATCATAATCATACTCATAATAATCATAATGATGATGGTAAAAATAATAATATTGGTAGTAATGATAACAATAACAATAATAATAATAATAATAATAATAATAATAATAATAATAATAAACACTTTATGGTCATTTCTAATAACTGTAATTATTATTATTATTTTTTTTATTAAACCTTTTTCCCATATAATAAGATTATCAAACATCTCATTATTAAACCCCCCTTTAGGAAGCTTACTGATTATATTTTTAAGACTTTTTTTTCTCTTTTTTTACCACCTAAGTCAACCAAATTAACGGTTAAATAACAATATAAGTAAACGTTCATTTGTGGGATCAGATTCAGAGAAAACAAAACAGTAACTGGCCGAGAAGTTATAAAGCATTATTCAATTAAAATGTTTATGGTCCGTTTTGTCTCCTTTGTGTGTTTTCTGCCTCACAGGTAAACATCAGAAGGGTGTATATGAATATATGATCCTTACATCGATGTGCTTTATCGAAAATTACCGTCTTATTGGTGTAAAACAGCGATTTTTGAAGGGATGTTTGACTCACCGTTGCTGCACGTCTCGTTACTGAGGTAAACATCTCGCATTGTGTTGATGGAGGAAACGATCCACAGAGAGAGACAGAGACGTTAAAATAAATAAATCAATAAAAACTTACAGTCTAAGAACCTTCTAGAACTTTCTCTCGGTACATTGGACCGACTGAACGACGAACTAACTACTTTAACGAGATTATCCTCTTTTTTCCCCCCCGACTCCACAGTTTACAGGTCGCCTCCCTGACAGCAGAGAACAAACTCACAACACAGAAGAAGAGGAGGAGGAGGTTAACAAAGCGACACCTGACCCCGCCCCACCCAGCCCCGCTCCTCCGGCAGGAGCCGGTAACGCACAACAGGTGTATCAAATTTCCCGCCCTACTGTACGATGAAAGGAACTCCCAACATAAATGGATGTAAGTAAAATTAATAATATATCAATAAATAATAAATAATATAAATAAAATAGAAATACATCACAATATTACGAAAAAATATTAGGGCCACATAAGAAAAAAATAAAAAATAATAAAAAATAAAGTCTTCGAGATTAAAGTCATAACTAACGAGAATGAAGTCGTAATAAAATCATTTCTTACGAGAACAAAGTCGTAATAAATTAATTTCTTACAAGTTATTTTGTAAGAAATTAATTTATTACTAGAATAAAGTCATAGTTAAATCATTACTTACAAGAATAAAGTTGTAATTAAGTAATTACTTACAAGAATTAAGTCCTAATAAAATCATTTCTCACCAGAATAAAGTTGTAATAAAATCGTAATTTACGGGAATAAATTCATAATAAAGTAATTTCTTACGAGAATAAAGTCGTAGTAAAAACATTACTTATGAGATCAAAGTCGTAGTAAAATCATTACATACGAGAATAAAGTCATTGTAAAGTAATTACTAATGAGAAAAAAGTCGTAACAAAGTAATTATCTATGAAAATGAAGTCTTAATCAAGTAAATACTTAAGAGAATTAAGTTGCAGTAAAATCATTCCTTACAAGAATAAAGTCTTAATAAAGTAATTATTAATGAGAATTAAGTTTTAATAAAGTAATTACTTACGAGAATAAAGTCATAACAAAGTAATTAATTACGAGAATGAAGTCGTAGCAAAATCATTCCTTACAAGAACAAAGTTGTAATCAAGTAATTACCTACGAAATGTTTGCCAAATGTTTAAGTATCTCCTTATATGAGAAACATATATTGCAGTACATTTTCATGAAATGCTCCATGGCTCTCATTTCAACAACTGTCATCTTAATCCACGTGTTAGAATATAAGGACTTTCGCTGCGTTCGAGTTACCTTGGAAGTCAGAAGTCCGAGATTAAAATGACGTCACACCCGAGTTACCAGCGTTTTGGTTACCAAGTCAGAAAAAAGCAAAATCAGAGGCCTAAAAACAAGATGGCTACATCTACGAAAGTTATTTTAGCGCTCGCCTTATATCCGGACAAGGCAAGCATCTAACTTCATCTAACTTTTGTAGATGAAGCCATCTTGTTTCAGGCCTCTGATTTTGCGTTTTTCTGACTTGGTAACCGAAACGCTAGTAACTTAGGTGTGATGTCATTTTCATCTCAGACTCTCCACTTCCAAGGTAACTTAAACACAGCATTTATCTTGACTTTACTCTCGTTAGTAATGGCTTTATTTTGACTATATTAAGGCAACTAATTGCTTTTTTACGGCTTTATTCTTGTTAGTGATAACTTAATTCTCGTGAGTTAATGACTTTAATTTCAAAGTCTTACTTTTTTTTTTCTTAATGTGGCCCTAATACTCTGTCGTACAACATATACACACTCAGATTTGACATAATTTAGTGGTCAATCTCATTTAAAAACAGAAATGAAAGAAATAAATATGTTCATAGATGGTTTATTTGTTGTTATCAGTAGTGCAGTCTAAGCAACTTGTTTTCATACACAAACACTTGGCACTTAGCACTGATTAGTCCTAGTTCTAATTTCACAAAACTTTCATTTCTCGGCTCAGGGCTGAACTAGACTGGGCTTTGCGAGGGTCGGCTAATCCAAGCAGTACTTCTGTATTTCGAACAGAGCGCAGGGTGGGAGGAAAACAAACAAATGGTTGAAGAGGAAGCCATCTTTACACATTTCATAAAAACTAAAACAGATTAAAAGTGAACTCCAGACTATTTGGCTAATGGGATCTGTTAAATGTGGATTTAAGGGTTGATTTAGTCTCTCCTCTCACCCTTCTCGTGCTCTCTGGGGTTGTAGAAGAAGCCTCGGTCCCCACATACCAGGTAAAGGGCATCCACCAGGTGAGAGCCACACAGGTGTTGAGGGACGATACCAGCCTCAGTGCTCGGCCATGACACAACCAGTAAAACCAGCAGAGACACAGACTGGAGCCACAGAGCTGCCATGATGGAGGAGACCTGAACATTTAGAAAGTATGTCAGATGTTAAAATGCAGGCAAACTTATTTTTGTTTTGTTTTTTTTCCTTTTCCAGAAGTCACAGTATTTCAGGATTTCCACAAAGGATGAATTAAAAAAACTCAAACTGTCCGTATCATTTCCTCCTCCTTCCTGAAAACAAACGCTTTTGCCCTCATGTAGAAAATAACAAATAAAACCAATAATTGACTTTTTCAGACACGGTTTGGTACACTTGAACTTACCTCAACAGTCAGAGGAGGAAGAGGAGAAAGGTGAGTCAGTGATGAAGAGGATCTGAGCTGGTCAGTTTGGGGTAAGAAATAAGTAATCCTCTTTATTTATACTTTCTGAGCCCCCCTCTGGATCACACAGTGATCACACACTGCTCATAGCTCATGGTGGTTTTCAGCTGTTGTTGTTTTCATAAAAGTTACATTTCTGTTGATTTTCCTGCAAACCAGCTGATCTCTGTGAAGTGATGAAAACCAAACAGTTTGTCCAAGTTGAGTAACCTTCTGGTTGACGGCCTGCTGCGGAGCACAAAGTCCGACATTAAGGACTGAGATCAGTTTTTGTCTTTAGCTGTTCTTACGTTGAACTGAAGAAGACCTGGTTGTGTCTGTACAGGTCTGAACCATAGACTGTATATATACACTCACCGGCCACTTTATTAGGTACACCATGCCAGTAACGGGTTGGACCCCCTTTTGCCTTCAGAACTGCCTCAATTCTTCGTGGCATAGATTCAACAAGGTGCTGGAAGCATTCCTCAGAGAGCTTGGTCCATATTGACATGATGGCATCACACAGTTGCCGCAGATTTGTCGGCTGCACATCCATGATGCGAATCTCCCGTTCCACCACATCCCAAAGATGCTCTATTGGATTGAGATCTGGTGACTGTGGAGGCCATTTGAGTACAGTGAACTCATTGTCATGTTCAAGAAACCAGTCTGAGATGATTCCAGCTTTATGACATGGCGCATTATCCTGCTGAAAGTAGCCATCAGAAGTTGGGTACATTGTGGTCATAAAGGGATGGACATGGTCAGCAACAATACTCAGGTAGGCTGTGGCGTTGCAACGATGCTCAATTGGTACCAAGGGGCCCAAAGAGTGCCAAGAAAATATTCCCCACACCATGACACCACCACCACCAGCCTGAACCGTTGATACAAGGCAGGATGGATCCATGCTTTCATGTTGTTGACGCCAAATTCTGACCCTACCATCCGAATGTCGCAGCAGAAATCGAGACTCATCAGACCAGGCAACGTTTTTCCAATCTTCTATTGTCCAATTTCGATGAGCTTGTGCAAATTGTAGCCTCAGTTTCCTGTTCTTAGCTGAAAGGAGTGGCACCCGGCGTGGTCTTCTGCTGCTGTAGCCCATCTGCCTCAAAGTTCGACGTACTGTGCGTTCAGAGATGCTCTTCTGCCTACCTTGGTTGTAACGGGTGGTTATTTGAGTCACTGTTGCCTTTCTATCAGCTCGAACCAGTCTGGCCATTCTCCTCTGACCTCTGGCATCAACAAGGCATTTCCGCCCACAGAACTGCCGCTCACTGGATATTTTTTCTTTTTCGGACCATTCTCTGTAAACCCTAGAGATGGTTGTGCGTGAAAATCCCAGTAGATCAGCAGTTTCTGAAATACTCAGACCAGCCCTTCTGGCACCAACAACCATGCCACGTTCAAAGTCACTCAAATCACCTTTCTTCCCCATACTGATGCTCAGTTTGAACTGCAGGAGATTGTCTTGACCATGTCTACATGCCTAAATGCACTAAGTTGCCGCCATGTGATTGGCTGATTAGAAATTAAGTGTTAACGAGCAGTTGGACAGGTGTACCTAATAAAGTGGCCGGTGAGTGTATATACTATGGACAACTTGGTTCCACCTTCCACTAGTATACGGATTTGAAGCTGAAAAGCTCCCGGTAATTCAGCGTTTTTTCTCCATTTACTGAAACAAACATTGCGCAGTAGCGTTGTACGCATTCGGTGAGAGAGTCACCAAGAGTCGCTGTGATGACACTCGGCTCAAACAGCTGAGCGTCATCACTCGGCTGTTTGATCCCCCGGGTGAGCTACACAATCCTCGTACGCCCATAGGCTGTATCAAGAGTCAATCACAGAAATCATGAACCCTCTAATAACTTTTAAAAATGGAGCTGTACAGAAAAAAGAGGACTTGAACACAAACCAGTCTGACAGTAACTACATGTCAACATCACAACCAGGGGGGAGAAACATCTATATTCTGTGTCATTAATTTCTAAAGTTTGTCCACAGCTCCATAAGCTTTGCTGGCAGAGGCAGGTTCTATGACCTATACTGCAGCCCGTCACCAGAGGGTGCTGTTCTCGGAGTGGCTTCACCCAGCGGGGAGGCAGACTCTGTCCATTTTATATACAGTCTATGGTCTGAACACTGAAACCAAGTCACTGATCCTTCTGACATCATCCTGATTGACTTTTCAGTTTAGGTTTTTCTATCATACAGTCACTTGATTTAAAACCTTCAAAAGATTTTCATTATTAAATTATCGATCAATCAGATATTAAATAAATTATTTAATAAATTATCTTAAAACTGGAAAAATAAAATCTTCCGGCTGCACTGTAACAGTGAGTCTTAGTGATGGGAAGAGCAGGTCTTTTGACTGTACTGAAGCTTTAGAATCAGTTCATTAAAATGATTCCTTCAAAAGATTCATTCACTGAATCAGTCAGTGCTTAGGAGCCCCATCCTGCCGGGTGCAGAACACGAGTGAGTGACACAACGGCGCTGATCAGGAGTTTGTTTATTGAACAAGCTCCTCCCCTCCCCTGCTGCTGAAGGAGCGCAAGTCGTCATTCTTTTATATCACAGGAAAGTGGAGAGATTATAAAATAAATAAACATAGCTGCTGTAACGGGGATTCTGCTACGTTTAAAGATGTTAAACAGCGTATTTCTTTAAATTGGCCAAAATTAAATCCTTCTTACAGGAAAGTTTAAACACATGTTTCAATGTAAAGGCGCTATAATGACCTGGTTTATCTTTGCCTCGGTCAACGAACCGCCGCTCGGCAGTTTGTGAACGATGCTACACCCCTCCCTTCTCTGCCTGCATCAAGTCATTCCAAAGTCGTTTGTTTCGTTCACAGTCTGACTGATACATATCGTTCATTCACTGTGAGTGGATCACGAGACTCCGCCCACCCGCTCGCTCGCTGGTTGGCTGTGTGTCGCAGTTCCACACCCGACTGGCACGCAGGGCTCGGGGGTGAGCTCAACTGAATTGAGAAAGGAACGAATCAGGTCTCGGAGTGATTCAGTTCACGTCGTTCACTCAGCAGTTCCATACTTTTGAACGAAACGTTCATGAACGACACAACACTAGTGAGTCTTGTTCAATCATAAAGATATGAAATCTGAGTCAGATTGTACTGATGTTTATAAATGTCACTTCATAAACATGTTGATTAGAAAAAGTTACCGCATGGATAAAGACTCATTTACTAATTTTCTTTTAATTCACAAAACTTTATTTTCTTGGGGGGAAAAAAATAAAAATCATCCATTTCTCAGCTCTTCATTTAACAGCAGTTGGATTTTCAGAAGGACGGCAGCTCCGTCTCTTCTGAAGCGGGAACAGGGAGGTGGGCGAGGCTAAGTTAGTCAAGAAGCTAAGCTAAACTAAGCTAATCAGAACCGGGCTTTAGTTGCAGTAGTTCTGCAGGTCGAACAGGTTGCAGGGTCTGTGGCAACAGTCTAGAGGCTGCGATCGGGCTATCCTCGTCTTACTGGGGTCTGTGGGGAGGAAAACAAATAAACAAATGATTGGAGAGAAGGCCAACTTTAAACATTTTATAAAGACTAAATCAGATTTTAAAGTGAACTCCAGACTATTTGGCTAATGTGAAATGTTAAATGTGGATTTAAGGGTTGATTTAGTCTCTCCTCTCACCCTTCTCGTGCTCTCTGGGGTTGTAGAAGAAGCCTCGTTCCCCACATACCAGGTAAAGGGCGTCCACCAGGTGAGAGCCACACAGGTGTTGAGGGACCATACCAGCCTCAGTGCTCGGCCATGACACAACCAGTAAAACCAGCAGAGACACAGACTGGAGCCACAGAGCTGCCATGATGGAGGAGACCTGAACATTTAGAAAGTATGTCAGATGTTAAAATGCAGGCAAACTTATTTTTGTTTGTTTTTGTTTTTTCTTGAGTGGATAAATATCAGGACAACTTACAAAAACAGTTGAAGAAACAAATCTAACTAATGAGGTTAATTTCCAACAGGTTAGTAACATGACTGGACGAAGTAGAGAAGTCTTTTTAAATCAGAAAACACAGTATTCCAGAATTTCCAAAACAAATGCTGAATTTAAAAATCCTTACACTGTCCTTAGCTTTTCCTCTTCTTTCCTGAAAACACCCACTTTTGCCCTCATGTAGAGAATAACAAATAAAACCAATAATTGACTTTTTCAGACACAGTTTGGTACACTTGAACTTACCTCGACAGTCAGAGGACGAAGAGGAGAAAGGTGAGTCAGTGATGAAGAGGGTCTGAGCTGGTCGGTTTGAGGTAAGAAGTAAGTTATCCTCTATATTTATACTTTCCAAGCCCCCCTCTGGGCTCTGGGGTCTGGGAGAAACCAGCTGATCTCTGTGAAGTGACGAAAATCAAACAGTTTGACCAAGTTGACTAACCTTCTGGTTGACGTCTGGGCACAAAGTCCGACATCAGGACTGAGATCAGTTTTTATCTTTAGCTGTTCTTACGTTGAGTTGAAGAAGACCTGGTTGTGTCTGTACAGGTCTGAACACTGAAACCAAGTCACAGATCCATCTGACATCATCCTGATTGACTTTTCAGTTTAGGTTTGTCTATCATACAGTCACTTAATTTGAAACCTTCGTAAGATTATCATTATTAAATTATCGATCAATCACAGGAAAAAAAAAAAGTCTGTGTGTTAAAGTGACATGTACCTGCAGAACCTGACATAATTTTTTTTTATATTCATGTGGGAAGAGCTGCTGCCCCCTTGTGGCAGAAAATAGGAGCAGATTTTTAATGAATTATCTTAAAACTGGAAAAATAAAATCATCTGGCTGCACTTTAACAAGTGCAAGTCTTGTTTTACCGTAAAGATATGGAATCTATCTGAGTCAGATTGTACTGATGTTTATGGTCTGTGTATTATCTGTCCATTCAATCTAGTAAACGAAAAACGACAAAATGAGTCAATATTTTTATTTTTTTTTTCTATAAAACCAAAAAATAAAAGATTAGTGTTTGTTTTTGTATTTCCAGTTCAAAACAGAATATATAATAGAGAAGGAAACGAAAACAAAATAATAAATCTACTTTTCGTTTTCAGGTTATTGATGTCCCCTTTTCCCGCAACAAAGTCTCCAACAACGTGGACCAAAAACTCCAGACCAAAGCGGTAGAAAAAGGCTAACCTGTTGTCATGGAGACGGACACATCCTACGTATTATTCAAAGCCGCCAGGAGGGTCACGGTCACGAGGAAGATATGACTGTAGAAAAAATAACAACCAGAGCGCTGTTACAACAGAAGATTTGTAACGGTGGTAACCGTCGCTGAGGATCATGGGAAGGCCGATGTAGCCTCCATGCACGTATGCTCAAAATCAATAATTTGTGAATAAGATTGATTATTTTGTTTTTGTTTCCTTCTCTATTATATATTCTGTTTTTAGCTGAAAATACGGAAACAAACACTATTTTTTTGATTAAACAGAAAAAAAAAAAAACAAAGTATTCACTCATTTCTTTGTTTTTTGTTTGCTAGATTAAATGGAATAATTAAGTGGATGGATAATACATGGACCGTTTAGAAATGTCACAACATATTTGGTTGATTTAATAATAAATACCAGATGGATAAAGACTCATTTACTCATTTTCAATTCACAAAACTTTATTTTTTTGGAAAAAAAAAAAAATTTCATCCATTTCTCAGCTCTTCATTTAACAGCAGTTGGATTTTCAGAAGGACGGCAGCACCGTCTCTTCTGAAGCGGGAACAGGGAGATGGGCGTGGCTAAGTTAGCCAAGAAGCTAAGCTAAACTAAGCTAAGCAGAACCGGGGCTTTAGTTGCAGTAGCCCTGCAGGTCGAACAGGTTGCAGGCTCTGTGGCAGCACTGCTCCACGATGCCGCGCTTGACCATCATCTCCATCTGGTCCTTGAATGCGAACTCCGCCACCTCGTTCTCGCCGCCTGCTGTGGTCGCACTGCCTGCCTTAGGGGGGAGGAAACCTAACAGGGCGAACAGACACAAAGTGAGAGGTTGTTATCTTGTTTATCTCACGCCACAAAAGGCTGAGGAATAATCACAGGAGACGACACAGGTAACCCGTATTGAACGATTTTACACTGGAGGTTTTTAGTTCACTGTCTCACCCATCAGGGAATCCACGTCTCTCTTGGGGTTGTAGAAGAAGCCTCGGTCCCCGCATACCAGGTAAAGGGCATCCACCAGGTGGGAGCCACACAGGTGTTGAGGGGGGGCGGCAGCCTCAGTGCTTGGCCATGACACAACCAGTAAAACCAGCAGAGACACAGACTGGAGCCACAGAGCTGCCATGATGGAGGAGACCTGAACGCAAAAAAGTCAGACGTTAAAACTTTGAACAGAACAGCGTCTTTTAATTCAAATATATATAGCGGACATATATGATGTGCTTTTCCAGCTGAGCTTGTTATCAATAATTACACTTAAAAACTTTGCAGATTCTATTTGTTTCATCATATAAGAATTCAAAGAGGACCTAGCATAGAGCCCTGTGGTGCTCCACACAGTATGATGAAACAAAATAAAGTACAGATCACATCTACGAGTGTTTTAGGGGGAAATAATCGAAAGAGTTAAAAGGTTAAAACAGGTGAAGATGGGCAGAAAAAGTACAAAACCAAAGGATAAGTCATTTATAGATTTAAAGGTAATTGTTGAAGGAAGGTAGAGGTAATGGACGGATAAAACTCACCTGGACAGTTGCAGGAGATGAAGGAGGAAGAGGAGGAGGTGACTCTGATGAAGAGAGAGCTGGTTGGTTTGAGGCCGAACAGAAGGTCCCCTCTGTATTTATATCCATCAGCGACGCTCCGACACGCCCACCGCTGTGCGTACGTTACTTTTCGCTGACCGCCTCCATCACTTAGTTGTACAAACAGAGCTAATGAGCCGACATGATCTGATCTCCTTCAATAAACAAATATTGATCATCAGGCGGCCTCCTGCTGCGCTCAGCAGCCCGACACCACGATCATTGAGTGAAGAGATATCAGTTTGAAAATAACTGAAATTTTCACCAAATCTGGAGCTTTTAGTGATTTTTGGCTCATTTCCGGCACTTATCTACCACAGCCACAACTCCGCTGATGTGGCTCACCTTTGCTTTTTAGAGAAAAAGCCGTACAAAGCCAACATATGCCACCAGAATCTGAAGAATTAATTATATCAATAAGATTTAAGCCGCAAAGATCAGTGTACAGCAGCTGCTCTTCTGCAGTAAACCACAGTCACAGACAATGAGAAAAGGTTAGCAGGTAAAGAGAGATATTAGCCTCAGGAGGTGGTTGAGACCAAACGCGGAGCTAACCGTGAGATAAAATTACACTTAATGAGTCTCAAACATTTGTTAACTTATGTGTAGATTTTCACACAGATGTTATCGATACTTAAAAGCTACTCTGAATTCATGAACACAGCGGAAAAGTTCATGAATGCTAATCAATCAACTGATCAACTGATCGTCTGCATCAAAATAAATCCCTGCCCATAAAACGCTGACGAACACCATATAAGGAAGTGTGAATATGTGCTTCCTGTGGGCCGGCGAACACACGGCAGAGGTTGAAGAAACTTTGGGTGAAGTAGAATTAAAAAATCTAGATTATTTTTCCTCCTGTGAGTGTTGTCTCAGGACAGTGATGGTACGCTCTGTAACAGTCTGAGTCACTGCGTTGGCTTCATTTTAACCCTAGAACACCATCGCTGGATGATTTTCACCCGACCAAATATGTTTACGTGATTTTCATGATGTTGCGTTTGTCTGAGTATCATGGGTCTCTGCGTAGCTTCAACATTTCCTTTGACATCTTTGAAGGCAAATTTGTTTCCCTGATCCAAAAATCTGCTTTTTCCTACAGACACGTGTTCACAAGGTGATTTTAGTGATAGAGGGTAAAGTAGGTTTGGGTGGATTTGATAGGTGCATGTAGGCGAATAAGGTCAGTAAGAGTGGTCCTGGAATTTGCATGCTATCTTTATTGATCACAAACTAGTGATTTTCAAGGGCATTCATATGGTGATTAGAAATATTTTAGTCAGCTGGTCATTTTAACTCACTTCAAATCTGCCATAGGAATTTTTTTTCGTTCATGAATGCCTAATTTCAGTTATATTGTTGCATTGTTATACGGTCCCCTCATGGCACTTTTTTATCCCTCCCTTTGGATATTCCACAGTTAATATAAAAGAAAACTACTTAAATTTGTCATGTATTGTCCTATTTTGATGTATTTTGATGATAAGTACGTTTTCTTGTGTATATTATTTCGGGTAAAGATCACCCAGTGTTAGTGATGGTGTTACTAATTTTAGCGATAATGTTCTACGGTTAAAACCAGTTCACATGGTATATAGTGGGTCAGCAGAGTCAAAAGCTAGGACTTCAATGAGTAACTCCTGTCTGCTATAGATAAAGAGTTAGGCCTCAAACATACAATAGAGGAATGGAGCACCCTGGTGAGCAAAATTGGGAAGTATACCGTGAGATCTGTTTTTGATCAAGCTTTTATATATATATATATATATATATATATATATATATATATATATATATATATATATATATATATATATATGTATTTTTTTTTTTTTTATTGAGTACCAGGGGAGCTCCATGCACATGCAACCAACACAACATAAAGTGCAGTCAAACTAAATTAACAGATCCAAACTGGAGATATTCTCCCTTCAGTGACGCATTAAAGAAAAATAGTTTTGTTGAAGTCAGGTCAGAGCAGCTTTGGTTGTAGTTACACTTAAAGATATAAAAAAATATGTTTCTCCACTTTAAAACCTGACTTCACAGAATCATAAAGCTTTAACTGATGGCTAAAACACACACACACACACACACACACAGAAGACCTAATGAGTGCGGTGTCTTTGCTGAGCGAGCTCTTCTTTCAGCCTGTTTGACACTAAGAGGGAAACTCAACTACCCGTGAAACAGAGCATCACCATGATGACGAAGAACTTCTCCGAATCCGAGTGGACACGTCTCCTCCAACAAATCTCCCAGAAACCACCTCTGCTGATGAGAAAACTCCATTAGTCTGGCTGCACGACTGTTATTTTCTGATTGCTGCATGATACAGTGACAGCGTGTTCGTGAATTAAAAGGGTTGTTTTTCAAAAACACTTTTAGTCTTTTATACGAAACTAAACATGATTGTGCTTCACAGAAAATATCTGATTTTTTTATTTCTAGATCATTTGATTGTTAGTTACAGAATGTCTGAAACAGATTCAAAGTAGAAGGAAGACTTTGAATTTTTACAAAACTCAACCAGGATAGTTATTTTCAGCCTAATTCATGATCTATCGGATGAAGACACAGAGTACCCAACGGTTGATAAATCCCATAAAAATCTTAGACTTGAAAGCTATGACCTTTATCCAGAACTCAGAGAATATATTCAGAACTCTGAGATTAAGATCAGAGTTCTGAACATAATCTCTGAATTCTGACTCTGATCTTGAGTTCTTACATATTTTCAGAGTTCAAACATTTCAAAATATTAAAAATCAAAAAACTACTTGTAATGATTTAGTAATTGCTACACTCTGGCAAACTGTTATTCTCTTGAGTGTGAATTCTTCACACATAATTTTTTTTCATGCAACTTGCATATTCAGTGTCACTAACCAAAAACAAAAAAATAAAATAAAATAAAACCTGCAATATTAATTATAAAAAGATCCTAAAACTATAACAATAATTATTAAAAACAACAACAAAAAAAACAAAAAAAAAACAGCAACATTAATGATACAAAAAATCATTAAACTGCAACAATAATTTTAAAAAAATAAATAAATAAAGACATAGTTTTCAAAGCATGGCAGCATGTTTATTAGAAATTACCGAATACAAAGTGGAATAACATTTCAAGTAAAAGCAAATGTTCACATTCACCACTGTGGCAGTCCGAAACATGTTTCCATCCTAACTCCCCTCCGAGGACATTTTTTTTGATTTGTAGGAGAGTAAAACCACCAGTATTTTTTCTTAAATAAATAAGATTAACATATAAGGCATAAATACAAACAAAAACTGCTAAAATAAGATACAGACGACCAATAGAGAAGGAATTCAGTAGCTTGAAATTATAAAAAAAAAAAAAAAAAAACTTTCACCGCAGTGTTTGACGTATAAAAAAAACAAAATCACAAAATAACATTTCAAACAAACATCTTGGCCTCAAGTGGACATACACTCATATTTTATTCACTTCATTTTACCCCGATAATAATATCTTGGTCTCTCAGGATAGCAAACCTTGTTTATTCCTGGTGATTTTTTTTTTTCTGATGCCACGCCACACCATTGTTTACACTTTCTTTGTGCTTTAAAACTCGGACGCTAAATCCTGAGAAAACTCCAGTCTTTTCTTATTTTATCACAGAAAAAGAGAGTTAAAGTCACTTAGGCTGTACATCCACTTCAATTTTCACATATTCATTAATCCAGTGTTGATACTCAGCAGCCACACAGTGACGAAACAGTCATCCACAGAGACCTCAGAGCTTCCTTATCAATTTGGCAGACTTACATGGAGATAAGTACACTGATTTGAAAAAAGAAAAGTGCAATAATACTGTTCAGTGATAATAGAAAACTTTCTTAATCGTATTTAGAAAATATTTTGACGTATAATAAATGAACCATGAGTTGGCACTTTGCGATGCATTCAGGTTGAAGTCAACACTTTGTCTTCATGGTACAATAGACAGCAGAGAAAGAAGCTAAAGCACGGGTGTGATTTTCATCTTCACGTCCAGGTCAGAGGAAGACGTCCATGGTCTGTGTGATCGCCTGTCTGCAGAGCGGACAGCAGCGTTGATGCATGGCGCGGCGCTGCGTGAGGATGTCAGCGCAGTGTCGACAGAGGCAGAGGTGGCGACACGGCAGCAGCAGCACTGTTTTACTCTGATCCTGACAGATGACACACTTCTTCCTCTCCTCCTGCTCCTTCAGCAGGCTGAGCAGCTCCACATCCGTCAAAGGGACGTTGACCTCTGGGGGTTTGTTTTTTGCGGATGTTCCAGTCCTGCGTCTGCTCACTGTACCGCCACTCTGCAGATGGTCCGCAGGGCTTGGTTCTGTCTCTGTCTGGTCATTCTCAGTGGTTACAGCACCTGTTTGCGTGTGCGGGGGCCTCCTTCGTACAGTCTGGGTGTGGAGCTCCTGACTGACTGGATTGTGTTCATGTACTGTCTGCACATGACCTGCACCTGGGAGGGCATTCATGAGTCTGAGGCTCAGGTGTGCGGTGAGTACAGACAGTCTTGGGTTCAGAAACAGCAGCGCCAGGAAGATGAAGACCACAGCGATGAGCAGAGAGTGTGAGTCCATCGTCACAACAGTGATAAAAATGCGTCCGAGTGCAGCCAGGAAGTCGAGCAGCAGCTGACAAGGCGTCCACAGCAGCACAGACACCCCGACCAGGGAGCTGTACAAGAAGGTCAGCAGAGTCAGAGCCAGGTCCACCATCCTGTGCACGGGGTCCGCCACCATCTCCCAGACCCCCGCCAGCATACTTGCACAGTTCTGCGTGCTAATGAGGACCATGTTGATCACGGTGTTGACGAAGTACAGAACCAGGCTGAGCGAGATGCAGAGGCACTCAAACGTCTGCCGCAGGATGCAGCTCCCTGAGATAAACCCGCGGTGCAACACGTCTTTTATCCTCCACGCCACATGGCACAAGAGGTGACCCACCATTTTGAAGCTCTCAAACACCCCGCCCAGACTCTGCAGGGCTCCACAGGCCGCAGAGGAGACGGCCTCTGTGGCGGTGAGGAAGGAAAAGAGGGCGCAGTTCCAGTACTCGACCAAAGTGGAGCTGCTCAGGGCGACCAACGTGTTATGGAGCGAGGCACCTGCACTGGTCAGGAGGTGGAGGAGCCAGCAGAGCGACCTGACGAGCAGGTCGATCAGCAGGCAGCAGGTGTCCACGCATCTCGCAACGGCAAGAGAGACGATGTTCACTTCATCCATATTAAGCTGAATAAGAGAAAAGAGGAGATAGGCCGGCATCACAAATGTACTTAATATACATGTTTAAAACAAAGATTACCTCACAGAACTATCCTGATATCTATGGCATCTCTAAAGGAATTACAGCTGATTTTTGATTTATTTCTCAGTTAAGCTTATAACAACAGTACAGCACAATTACATGTTAGAGTGGGTCTGCAAAATGCTGTAGTCTAGATTGTCCATCCATTGTGCTGAACACACTCAGTATGTTAATATGCACTTTAAAAAATGGATTCATTGCAATAGTCCAAATGAAACAGAACTTTTAATTATCCTGTGAACAAATTAGACTGTTTAGACTGCACAAAAAAAATCAAACTTCTCAAAGTCAAACTAACAAACCTGGATAATTCAGTTTGTGATCGACGTTTTCTGTCATGTTTACAGCTGAAATAAACTAAAACTGGAGTGACTGCCCAACTTTGTGAGAAAGTCAAGATATTACTAAAACGGTGATCATCGAAATTCGATGAATGTGTTTAAACCAAGCCCTTTTCGTGAAGCGAATTGGTTTATGCGTTTGAGCAGTTAAGCAACCTCAAAGTAGTGAGAGTATGGTGATATAGCATGTATATGGAATCACTGTCAGTTTTGTGTATTATTTAAGCAAACGAATACCGCAGGCTTTAACGTGAAGCACATTTTGTCCGGTTATCAACCACAACTGAACAATTATACACGAATACGGTACTCGTGCCGAATTATAATGTCACAAAAACTGATGGATATCCAGTACTAAAAATTTACCTTCAGGGTGTTTTTAATGAGAAACAAGTCAAAGATAAGATTTCGAAACGGAGTTTGTTATTGTTACAGGACCGTTACATCTGAGCCTCTTACACGCGGTCTAGAACCGTCCACGGTAGAACGGCGTATCATCTCGTGACGTAAACGTTAACAGACGTTAATGCAGATTTTTCCAAACATGGTTCCCTGTGATATTTTAATTGTATGTTATATTTGAGGTCTAAACAGACGCTAACGCCGCTGCCAGGTAAACCACACCCTTTAGCATTAGCCTGTAAGTTGGAGAACAACGCCACCAAACAAGCTCCTCGTGAGAAAACTGAACATGACATCTATAAGAGAAGCAGACTCACCGTAACAACATGGCGCTCAAAGACTTAATAACAGGCACATGAACTCAGTACTGTAAGTATAATAATACGCATTTTCAGTATGTTTTCATTATTCACCTCTTCTTCTGTGTCCAATCTCACACTCGTGTTAAAGATAGATTGCGCCCACTGTCGTTATTTCAGGAGTATTACACCACAGAGAAACTAGAGGCAAGACTTTTTTTCTCTATCTATCTATCTATCTATCTATCTATCTATCTATCTATCTATCTATCTATCTATCTATCTATCTATCTATCATCACTGGTATCTTTGTACACAAATTCCCATTTTAAACGACTAAATTTGGTTTATAAAAAAAGTCAGAACAGTCATATATTGTTTTTTTCTGACTTTCAGATTTTGATTTGATAGAACAAGCAAAACTCAATATCTGGTATTTTCTTTCATTATAAAAACTTTGTCCTAAAACAGTGACAAGCATACTTTTTTCTTATTAAAACTTTTTTTGTTCAATAAAAGCTCATGTGAGGAGTTTCTTGAATGAAAAAGTGGATATTTTAATATTTCAACAAGGACATCATATAAATATTAATTTTATACAATGATTTTTCAATGTCTGAAGCTTTTCGGGGCTGGTGTCAGCTGTAACAGAGGGGTTTATTTTATATCTTTTTTCTTATGGTCTGTTTTGGCAGCATGTGACTGCGGAAATACCTAGTAATGGCCTGTAGATGGGAGCAAATACCTTAAATCAGGGGTCTCCAAACCTTTTCTCCAGGATTTAAGAAAAAAAGACAAGACAAGACTTCATCACATATATTATTTTGATGATCACCCTTTTAGTAATACCTTGACTTTCTCACAAAGTTAGGCAGTCACTCCACTCAGCCAGTTTTAGTTTTTTTTTTCAGCTGTAAACATGACAGGAAAAGTTGATCTCAAACTGAATTATCCAGGTTTGTTAGTTTGACTTTGAGAAGTTTGATTTTTGGTTAAGTCTGGACATTCCAATGCGTTTACAGAATTATTACAAGTTCAGTTTCATTTGGACTATTGCAATGAATCCATTTTTTAAAGTGCATATTAACATACTGAGTTTGTTAAGCACAATGGATGTCAGCTCAAACCGGCACACAATCCAGACTACAGCATTTTACAGACAGGACCCAGTCTAACATGTAAATGTGCTAATTTTAAGACACTTTAAGCAGGGAACTCATCCCAGTTGTAAACTCAACTGAGAAATAGATCCAAAATTAGCAGTAATTCCTTTAGAGATGCCATAGATATCATCAACAGTCGGGTAATCTTTGTATTAAACATGTATATTAAGTACATTTGTGATGCTGGTCTATCCCTTCTTTATTATTATTATTATTATTATTATTATTATCATTATTATTATTGTTATCATTATTATTATCATTATTATTATTGTTATTTTCATTATTATTATTATTATTATTATTATTATTAGTAGTAGTAGTAGTAGTTGTAGTAGTATTAATAGCAAATGAAGGGGCCTGTCATGTTTCAAACATCATATGTGAAGCTTGAACAACAGCAACAAGCTTTTCATTGTTATAGGAAAAACGTTTGATCAAATGAATAAAAAATCGATCTGAAGGACCGCCTTTGTCATGAAAATAAGCGCTAAATATGTGTGAATACCTGAGTCACACAATCATCAAGATACGAGGATCTTACAAACTCACTCACCAGAAAGAAAACTGGACTTTAAAACCACAATGTCTTTGTACACACGTAATGATAACATGGATTAAAACGGGTAAAGGGATTACCGGAGATGAGGTGGAGCTTCTGAGCAAGCCCGATTTTGGCGCCCACGGGCTCCATTCACGTCCGCGCTTTGGCTACAATACATAAGCGGCAGAAGGCGCTGCAAGTCATCGTTCGCCGCTCACTGAAGTTGAAGATGTCTGGCCGTGGAAAGGGAGGTAAGGGACTCGGAAAAGGGGGCGCCAAGCGTCACCGCAAAGTCCTCCGTGATAACATCCAGGGAATCACCAAACCAGCTATTCGCCGTCTGGCTCGCCGTGGTGGTGTGAAGCGTATCTCCGGTCTGATCTACGAGGAGACCCGTGGGGTCCTCAAAGTCTTCCTGGAGAACGTGATCCGTGATGCTGTTACCTACACCGAGCACGCCAAGAGGAAGACCGTCACCGCCATGGATGTGGTGTACGCCCTGAAGAGACAGGGCCGCACTCTGTACGGCTTTGGAGGTTAAACCTGATCTGATCCAACCACACCGAAACCAAAGGCTCTTTTAAGAGCCGCCCACTAACATCTAAGACGCTATTCCTTGTTAAATGTCAAATATTTGTTGATACAGTTGTACTGCCGTTTAAAAGGATTCAGTATTGTTTTCAAGAGAAGTTTTCTCTTGACCAGAACTGAAGAAGGCTAGTCTTTGGGATGCTCACCAAAACTGTATTATCAAAACTGGTCAAGTGTCAATCATTATATCATCAGTATCATTATTATCATTATACCAAACTGTACTTTGCACAGGTTTATGAAAACTGATTGCCCTTGCTCTCTTGCTGAATACAGTTTGAGTCTGAATACAATGTATCGTATTCTGTGCTTTTATTATTAATAATAAAAGAATCACCTGCTTGGATGAGAAATATCTCCTTTCTGGTCTCCCTATAAATACAGATTAGGCTGCCTTCAGCACCTTTTTATATCAACTTCATTCCCAAGCTCTTTATAGTCTTTGAGCTATGTATCAGCTTCACTTGTTTCAGTTAGTGGTCTTTTAATGGTTTACAGTGAGGCAGCAAAAGCTGCTGAAAGACTAGAGGACAGTAAAAGTGTTTCCCTGAAGCCAGCTCAAGACCTTTTCTTTTAAGTGATTTAGTGAAGTTTTATATTACCTTTAAGGTTTTCTGTTTTAACATTTCAATCTTACCGCCAGTGATTCCTAGTTATGATAAAAATATTATCATTATTGTGAATCACCTGCTAAACACCTTTCTGGTCTCCCTAAAAAAACTACAGATTCAGCTGCCTTCAGCTCACATTTAGGTATAAGCTGGAGGACAGTATAAGTGTTTCTTTAAAGGCACCTCAAGAGTTCTAGTGGAGTTTTATATCACCTTTATGCTTTTCTATTTTAACATTTCAATCTTACCTCCAGCGTTTCCAAGTCTTAGACTCGTGATAGTGTTTTCTCAGTCTCTTAGCCCCCTTGTTTCTGTTTGATCAAGAATCATATCACATTCCTGATAAACTGTCTTTGTATTAAGGTTTTAAACTCAAATGTTTTTGTTTCGTTAAATCTTTACAATTATATACTCTGTTAATTCACTGAAAAATGGAGGGAACGTCGAGTTAAACAAAGAAAAAGGGGGGAAATATTTCCCACCAGCAGGAGGAGGAGGGTTCTCTCTTCTTCTTCCGCAGTAGTGATTTGTGAATGACCAATCACGTAGGGGGGACAGCTCAGTAAAATTTGCATCACCGGATTAAATATATTGGTCATCTATTGGCAGAAAGACACTCGTTTCGGAACTCCGACTGCAGCGAATATGCCTGAACAAGTGAAAGCATCGAAGAAGGGCTCCAAGAAGGCCGTCTCTAAGGCGACCAAGAGCGGCAAGAAGAGAAAGAGGACCAGGAAGGAGAGCTATGCTATCTACGTCTACAAGGTCCTGAAGCAGGTCCACCCCGACACCGGCATCTCCTCCAAGGCTATGGGTATCATGAACTCCTTTGTCGGTGATATCTTTGAGCGCATCGCCGGTGAGGCCTCTCGTCTGGCTCACTACAACAAGCGTTCCACCATCACCTCCAGGGAGATTCAGACCGCTGTCCGTCTGCTGTTGCCCGGAGAGCTGGCTAAGCACGCCGTGTCCGAGGGTACCAAGGCCGTGACCAAGTATACTAGCTCCAAGTAAACCTGCTGAGGCGAAACTAAAATCCAAAGGTCCTTTTAAGGACCACCCACATCATCTAAGAGTCAAATTCTGTACACTGATAATTGTATTCTTTTCTATTAAATGTCTGTCATACATGGCATCTATGGCTTCTTATGGAGTAAAGCTTCCGGAGGCTGCTTCTGGAGTTCCCCCCACAGCTGTGTCTGTTACACAAGTCATTCCGTGTAAACGCATGGGTTCCACACACAAACAAAAAATATAAATCATTCTGATTATGATGGACAGAAATGATCCCTGCGTGTGAAGTCAGTGCACCCACCATGTCATAAGGTGAGGTGTTTCCTGAATGAAAAAGTGAACATTATAATAATTCAACAGCACCACCGTACGAATATTAACGTAGCTCGTTTTTTCTATTAAAGTGATGGATCAAATCAACGTTGGACTACTAGCATTTGTAGTATCACAAGTATTGATCAGTATAATATGTAGCATTAAAGAAGTTAATTTCCTCCTCCTTATTTCTTCTATGGTAATGCCAGTTGCCAACAACTCATGTTACTTTATTTTCTTTATCCTTAAATAAACCTTATTTTTCGTATGAAAACCATAGTAAACTCATTAGATAATCCGGAGTCAAACTTTCCTCGCTACCCTGATTTAATCGTCACTTTTCCAATTATTGTTTCCTACAAACCCTCTGAAGCCTTTTTCCTGATTTGTTGTCTTTTAAGCTGAATTGATTGAGTAAAGATATTTTTATTTTAATATTTTATTTAATGACGGCCGTCAATGGGCCGGCTCAGTGGAACAAATATTTCAGGACTGAGACCAAAACTTGACAGAGAATTGTCATGAATTAAAACCTTTTTACGCAATAACATGCCTTTTTTTCTTTTAAAGGAGTCAAATTTAGTCTTCAAATAGATGTGGTGAGTAACAAACCTTTGCTGAAATAAGTGGAAGGGTAATCCTAATGTCTGATATAAAGTGGATCGTAACCATTAACTCACTCCGAGTTTAAAATCTCAGCTGTAGAACAAAGGGACCAGACTGATAACCTCAGACTCGAGCGCGCCACGTGATCACGTAGCTGCACCATATGAGCTCTACTCTGATTGGATGATCAAAGATCCGCTTCCTGATCGGCGGGCTCTGGTCCTATATAAGGCAGAGAGAACACTGCATCAGGCATATTCTCCTTGTTGCAGAAACTAGAGAAGAAACTGTAATCATGTCTGGACGCGGAAAGGGAGCCGGAAAGGCAAGAGCCAAGGCAAAGAGCCGATCATCCCGCGCCGGGCTTCAGTTCCCCGTGGGTCGTGTCCACAGGCTGCTGAGGAAGGGCAACTACGCCCAGCGTGTCGGTGCCGGAGCCCCCGTCTACCTGGCCGCCGTGCTCGAGTATCTGACCGCTGAGATCCTGGAATTGGCCGGGAACGCTGCCCGTGATAACAAGAAGACCCGTATCATCCCCCGTCACCTTCAGTTGGCCGTCCGCAACGACGAGGAGTTGAACAAGCTGCTTGGCGGAGTTACCATCGCCCAGGGAGGTGTGTTGCCCAACATCCAGGCCGTGCTGCTGCCCAAGAAGACCGAGAAAGCCGCCAAGAAGTAAAGATCCTGAGGGGATGTGATAAAACAACGGCTCTTTTAAGAGCCACCCACATACAATTAATGAGCTTTATCCCGTGTCTATCTGGATTTATGTTGACTAAAGGTGAAAGACTGACAAAGTATTTACATTTTTATACGCACCATAAATGCGCGTAATTTGCCAAAACCAAACAATAATAACGAAAGTTCTAGGTATGCCGCCTTAGGCTCCTCACCTGCACTGATGATCATAGCGAGAAGTGACAACTTGCACAGAGATTAACTTCGGGGTTCGGAGCCTGTCTCACTGCTAGCATGTAGCCTTAGGATGTAATTGAAACAAACTGACTATTTTTGGCATGGATGTGGTGTTGGAGTGCCGTGATTATGAGTACACATAATTCTCCCATGGATGTGCACTGATTTGCAGCAGAACCGAGGGATGTCGATTCAAAAAATATAGTATATAAATCTTGAATGGAAGAGAAAAGCACCAAACGGCAAATTGGCTACTAGTAAAGATTATGGAAATTTTATATTCTCTTCATTCTTAAGATGTCTACTACTATTTGCCACAACTATTTGAATAATAAAAACATTATAAACAATGAGAATATACATTAAGTAATATGAGCTGTATTAAAGTGACCTTTCATTTGCATCATTCATTTTCATTATACTTACTCCTAGCACCCACACAGTGTACACCTCTGCAGCAGCATTCGTCAGTGGAAAGAGAAGCCCGTTTTAGAATGAATTGAGGTGATTGGGATTGTGCTCGAAGAATCCATCTCCATGAGGACCACAGAGTTTAGCAGCCGCACAGTTAGTATGCAGTTATCAAATGAATAGATAATGTAATCCAAACTATTTGTCGGGGATCGGTCAGAGTGGATATAATTACACTGTAATAAAAAGATTTCAACTTAGTAAGGGTTATCACTATCAAACAATATGCCACTTGTATATAATATGGTCAATAAACATGAATAAAGTTGCTCTGTCAGCGGTTGTGTGTGGCTCTTAAAAGAGCCGTTGGATTGCAGGGTTGGTCAGATATCAGAGTTTAAGCCCTCTCTCCACGGATACGGCGGGCCAGCTGAATGTCCTTGGGCATGATGGTCACCCTCTTGGCGTGGATAGCGCACAGGTTGGTGTCCTCGAACAGACCCACCAGGTAAGCCTCGCTGGCCTCCTGCAGAGCCATGACTGCAGAGCTCTGGAAGCGCAGGTCGGTCTTAAAGTCCTGGGCGATCTCCCTAACCAGACGCTGGAAGGGCAGCTTGCGGATCAGCAGCTCGGTGGACTTCTGGTAACGGCGGATCTCTCTCAGGGCCACGGTACCGGGCCTGTAACGGTGAGGCTTCTTCACGCCGCCGGTGGCTGGGGCGCTCTTACGGGCGGCCTTGGTAGCCAGCTGCTTCCTGGGGGCTTTGCCTCCGGTGGATTTACGGGCTGTCTGCTTGGTTCTTGCCATTGTTCACGAGTTTCCTTCAGCGATAGAAAGGATGAATGTGGACTAGTGGCAGCAGCGGCAGCTTTATACGGGAGAGCCGGCGCGGTGTCCCCTCTGATTGGTCCAGACCAAAAGACCCGCGCGCTTTACCTCGTCAACCATTGGCCAAGAAATTCAAACTTAAACAGACAAACAGGGAAAGGAAACAAAAGAGACAAAAGTGTAGGATAGTTAACCAGCATGTAAAGTAAATTAATTATAAATGTATGTTCCTGCCGCAAAATGTATATTTTTAATAAATTTTACCCTCGTAAAAGAACTGTCTGACTGCAATCCAAGACCTGGATATTCTTCATATTAAGAAATTCAATCTACAAACAGTTAAAACAAACAAACAAAAATACATGATAAACTTTTCTGAGGTCCCCAGGTAGAACTTTTTTTTGTGATTTTGTGCTATTTTATTTAAATTATATCAAACTATGAAATAATGTTGTTAATAATTAATGTTAAATAATAATGTATACCCTACCGAACTAAGTTGTTATCTTAATATGAAGTGGGCACACCTCTTATATATAAAGGTCCATCAATTTAAAATAAACATCAATATATTGCCATTTATAAATATCAATATTGAATTGTTTAAATATTTTTTTTATCTTCCATTTATTATTATTATCATTATTATTATTATTATTACTATTATTATGTGACTAGGGTTAAGATCTGCTCTAAACTTATATACAGAATAATACACGATGTAAAATCAATGTATTTAATTGTGAAATGGTGAGAGCCAACAAATACAAACTCAAAATCAAACACACACATCTTTTTTTTGTTTGTTTGTTTTAACTGACATTTGTTCTCATAAAAGTTGGATAGAAAAAGACAATTATCAGGAATTCACGACTGAACAATGTGACCAGTCTTGTAGTGTTATGAACAAATAATAAATTGTGGAAATGGATTATTCAACATGAACAATATCCTTATCTTCTCAGGGTCCTGGAAACAATGTTTACTGTGACTCTCATCAGGTGTCGCACACTCAGCAATGTGGTAAATAACGGAAAAAAACTGGTTCTAACACCGTCATGCTAACATGGCGGTTTGGGGTGCTGATATATTAGTAACTGGTTTCATCACTGCATACCCATCCTTAGTTCGTTGGCATGAACATCGAGGGATACTTCAAGAGCACAATAATCCAATTGACCATATCTGATAAATTTACAGGACACTCTTTAAAAGATATGTGGGTGGCTCTTAAAAGAGCCTTTGATGCACTTAAAGCAAGTCAGGAATTGAACAGATTTACTTCTTTGCCTTCTTGGGTGCTGCCTTCTTAGCTGGAGCTTTCTTGGCAGCTGGCTTCTTCGCTACTTTCTTGGGGGCAGCCTTCTTAGGAGACTTCTTTGCTGCAGGTTTCTTCGCTGCTTTCTTTGCCGGTGCCTTCTTGGCTGCTGCCTTCTTGGGAGACTTCTTGGCTACAGGTTTCTTGGCTGCTGGCTTCTTTTTGGGAGACGCTTTCTTTGCTGCAGCGGGCTTCTTGGCCTTAGCTGGAGCTTTCTTCACTACCTTCTTCTTGGGCTTGACAGCCTTGGGCTCCTTTGTCAACTTGAAGGATCCGGAAGCTCCGGTGCCTTTGGTCTGGGCGAGAACTCCCTTAGACACCAGCTTGGTCACAGCGGTGTTGATGCGCTTGTTTGCCTTGACGACGTCGATCCCCTTAGCGCCCATAACCTTCTTGATGGCAGACAGAGACATCCCTTTACGCTCCTTGGACTCAGCAACGGCGTCGACGATGAGCTTCGGGAGGGTAGGTCCATCCTTCTTGGGCCGGGGAGCGGACTTCTTCTTGGGGGCCTTGGCCGGGGCCTTAGCGGGGGCTGCAGCTGGAGCTTCTTCTACCATGTCTTCGCTGAATGAGTCGCAGTGATTCACTGAACATGAGTATCTCGCAGCTGAGGGCCGCATTTATAGAGCGCGTGAGAACCGTGGAGACTCATCTCACACTTACCCTCTGCTTCCCGCCCGAAAAGTGGCGACACTTTGTGTTTTCTCCCAAACATTTAAAGGATAAAACTAAGTAAAAAAATGGTTTCCAAACACAACAAACACCCACATCTGTTAAAGAAGTGTCCCACCGCCAGTCTTGGTTCATTTCTGAATGCGTGGACTCAACTATTTAATTATAACAGTCCACAAACCTCCGTGATACACGGCCAATCTGCATCTCATGCAGAGATTTATCTTCACATTTCGTCTCCTTAATGGCATAAAAACTGTTTGCATGACATTTTAAAGTTGCCTGGAAGGAAGCAGAGACATTGGGCAGTATAACAAAACCGAAATTGTGGCGGTGGTGTGAATTGTTTGTTTAAAAATTGACATTATTTACGAGGTGGTTAACACACTGCCGAGTAAGGACTAAGGCGGTCAGACCGATCCTGACTGACCCGCTTCACAAGATCGCTGTGTGACCAAATGATAGTCATATTACAGACGATACTCACTGCATAATGTGATGGTTAGATAATTATCAGAATAACTACTTATTATACCAAGAAATTGTTTATTCTTGCGACATAGACACTTGATTCAATCAGTTTCTCACATTCTACTCTTTCTGTGCTTCTGTTTATATGATTTTCTGATCAGATGGGTCTAAAAAATGTTTAATTTAACGTTAAACTATTTGTGCTTAGTGATATTAATTTGCTTTGATGCACTGGTGTGAAGCTTATGACGATGATCTATTTATTTTTGTTAATTTCTTTTTCTTTTTTTTAAGAATGCTTCTGGAAGTATTCATAAAAATAAAGTCACCAGTGTCAGACTCATGGAAAAAATAAAATGAATATTTTAGCTGATAATTGACAACACATAAAAACATAACATGGGACTATGACCATTTTGTGTAGGTTCGGGGTGAGGGGAAGGATTATCTCTACAAAGAACAGACTGACAAACATAAATGAAGGATAGGCTAGTGGTGTTTTTCTATTTATTAAAACACACAGTTCTCTAAATTCACACTATATGGTTCATGTACACTTTACAAAATGTGTATTTCCATATGAGATTCATGTGAGAGTACAGTTTCACCTATTTGCTTGTAGTTACTACAAATGGGGCAAAGCCTTTAAGTGTGTAAGGTGTTTACGTGTTGCCATTATTAAATTGGACAAAGTAAACTATTATTATGATTATGATTTTTATTATTATTATTTTTCCTATTTTTCTGTGTGGCTCTAAAGACTCCCAGAACATTCAACAACACTGAATTTTTATAGAATGCACTTTGTTTAAGTTTAACGGACTCATTTGATATAAAATTTTGGATCCACCATTAAACAAAATATGCAGTAACTACTCTTCATGGGGTCCTTTTCCATTTTCATTTTAAACTTAGACGTGTATTTACAGACATTACACTTACACTCATTTTACACTTCATTCGTGCAGTAGCTCTTATTCTCTCTTGCTTGTTGAAAAATAAACCGATGCATAAATAAGATGAAGAAAGAAAAGTGAAAAAAGTAAAAAAAAAAGGAGAACAGAACTTATTTAACAAGAAAAAATAATCCATCAGAGAGAAGAGCTGAACTCAATTTCATTAATGGTACTTCATATGTAAACATATTCACCTGCAATTGTTTGTTAGAGCAATTCCTGTTAATGTCTGTGGATGTTATTTTTTATTAATTTTTGGTTGATAAATTAATCAATTGATTAACTGAAAAAAAAAAAAAAGATATCATTGAGATTTTCTGAATGACATCCGAACGAAAAATATGTGGGCCATAACTGCTGCTGGTGACTTTGAGTTCGGTACAATGGTTTTTGAACATCTTTTGTGTGATCTGTCTATAATAGATATCTTGCTATGATCTCAACTTATCCCGATAAAGTTTTGATTTATCCATGTAGATACTTCTTTTGCATCCTATTGAATATCATCTTGTGTGTGAGGATGTAATTTCAAGAGTGTATAATGTTATATGACCCCTCATACATGCAAAGACAGTGTAAATGAAGTCATCTGAATCTAATCAGTTTGTTTTAGCACTGTAGAGATTATCTGTCAACTATAGGAATAAACATGTTTAGCTGATGTATGATTAAAATAATCAGTCAATTTTAATGAGTATGGCGTAAAAGTATAGCAAATTATATCTCAACATACTTTGATATAGTGGATGTAGACCAAACTCTTAGATGTATTACTATGAGCGAAAATAAAGGTTGAATCCTGCTTAAGGATTAGACCCATTCTAAAACAATCTCCAACAAGAATAGTAGAGCACTCGCAAATGAACTGCAGATGGTAGTCAGACTCTAAAATAAGTCTTTTGCGGTCTACAATATCTATGTTGTAATCACATTGTATGGCTGTGCATTGATTGCCCATATAAGAAAGTGTGCACATTTTTCTCGGTGCGTGGAAACTAAAACATAGGGGGTCAGTCGCTGTCCCGTTCCTTTTTGTGTTCTGATTGTAATCAACGTCTATGCTTGATATAAATAGATGAACAGACTGTATAACGGAAGATTATCATATGTATTATTGCCTGTTGAAAATCTTTTCATGCCGACACATCATTCCTGATATTCGAGTGGTAAATAAGGCAGCTTCATGATAAGATATTAAGAAATTACTCTTCAGATGGATTTGGGCGGCTCTTAAAAGAGCCTTTGGTTTCAGTAAAGTTGGATCAGGGTTGGATTTAACCTCCAAAGCCGTACAGAGTGCGGCCTTGTCTCTTCAGGGCGTACACCACATCCATGGCGGTGACGGTCTTCCTCTTGGCGTGCTCGGTGTAGGTAACAGCATCACGGATCACGTTCTCCAGGAAAACCTTGAGGACCCCGCGGGTCTCCTCGTAGATCAGACCGGAGATACGCTTCACACCACCACGGCGAGCCAGACGGCGGATAGCAGGTTTGGTGATTCCCTGGATGTTATCACGGAGAACTTTGCGGTGACGCTTGGCGCCCCCTTTTCCGAGTCCCTTGCCTCCTTTTCCACGGCCAGACATTGTGAACAACAGTTGCGTTAGTACGTCAAGAACGAATGACTTGCCTGCGCTTGAAGATCAGTACTTAAAGCCGAACCGCGGACGTAAAGGAAGTCTGTAGGCGCGAAATGAGCTCAGAAACCCCAATTCTTTTGTTTCTTTACCCGTTTAATTTCGTTAAACGTTTAATTATTTGTATCATTATTTGGCATTTTTCGGACTTCCGGCCCCGATGACAGTTTCTAATTGATCGCTTTCTTTGAGAGAATTTTTTTTATATAGTTTTATAGTTATAGTGTTGATTTTGCGGTTAATCGTGGATTTAAAAGGGTTCACTTACTATGGATTTGTAAAGATGATTACTAAACCCCTGTATGTAGTGTATACCTATTTTAAAACATGATCATTATCCTCAAGATCATTTCTTTTTATTGCTGTTATAGCTCCTGTTTTGTACTGAAAGTCCTCTCAATCTGTAATGCAAATTGCAGTTGTTAAGTATTAAAATGTTCTTCCTTTTTCGTTAATGTTAATGAGGTGATACTTAAGACAATAGGACACTCCTGACACCTCTCCTTTGAACAATTGTTGTGTAGCTCCAATTCCCCATTCACCACAAAGGTGCGAGCGCTTGACTACCTCCTCATCTCAGAGGGCCCTCGTCACAACTATTAGATATTTACACTTGAAAGAAACTGTACATCGATTTTAATAAGCAGTTACAGTGATCAGCATTAATGTGTATTTTGTGCTCAGGGGCCGAATTAATACTAGAACAAATCATTCAAAGATATCCAAAAGACAGAGCCAAGGATGCAGATGGCAAGTTAAAAATCTGTTTTATATGTGCCTCTATCATATTCCCTAACATGATTGTCCTTCAGCAAATACATTCCTAATTTATTATTATTGGTTTTTGTTTTAAGGTTTATAAATACGTTTGTTCGATCAATTTAAACGTTAACATGTTGTGTTAATATACAGAAAAAAAAAGAGGGAAAATCGAGCCAAACAAAGAAAAAGGGGGGACAATATTTCTCCCCCCTCAGAAAGAGGGGCCCTGCTTCAGTGGTTAGTAGATACCCAATCACGTGGCGGGGATAGCACACACTAATCTGCATCATCCGGTTACAAAAGCAGGCTTCCCTCGACTGCAGATATCATTCACCTGCTGAATTCCCATCATATCTAAGATGCCTGATCCAGTGAAAGCACCGAAGAAGGGCTCCAAGAAGGCCGTCTCTAAGGCGACCAAGAGCGGCAAGAAAAGAAAGAGGACTAGGAAGGAGAGCTATGCTATCTACGTTTACAAGGTTCTGAAGCAGGTCCACCCCGACACCGGTATCTCCTCCAAGGCTATGGGCATCATGAACTCCTTTGTCGGTGATATCTTTGAGCGCATCGCCGGTGAGGCCTCTCGTCTGGCTCACTACAACAAGCGCTCCACCATCACCTCCAGGGAGATTCAGACCGCTGTCCGTCTGCTGTTGCCCGGAGAGCTGGCTAAGCACGCCGTGTCCGAGGGTACCAAAGCTGTGACCAAGTACACCAGTTCCAAGTAAATCTGCTGAAGCGACACTGAAACTCAACGGTCCTTTTAAGGACCACCCACATAATCTGAGAGTGCATTCCTGATTATATAATATTGCCAAACACGGTGATACTTAAATTACGTAGTGCCATAATCACAGAGTACAAATAGTATGTAAATAAGCAAAATGTACACTACATACTCAAGTGTCACTACTTGAGTGAGACAGGAGAGTTGACTGTGTGTGTGGTGTATGCAAATGGGGTCAGAGCAGATCAACATTGCTCACAATTGTGTCAAAAATGTCTGTTTTAGAAGCATATGCTCCATTCCAACAAACCACAGTGTTAGTTGATCTGTGATGTGACTGAACTGAGTTACGGTTGCCGTGCATGGTTGGAAATATTACTACAGTACAAGATAGAATAAAGAGAAGTAATGGTGAGAAAAACAAAAACGGGTTCAAATGTGTCCTGTAGCTTCAATTAGTCAAAAATTTCAGAGTGGTTGTAGTTGCTTGTGTTACATATTTTCTGTCTACTTAATTGAACGTCACTTTTTGAATATGGTCTTGAGTAACTCTGCTTTTGATAACAATTTGATTCACTAATTTGGTTCTCTTTGGTATTTTATAATGAGATATTATATATAAATTAAAACAAACAAAAAATGTTACCCGTGTGTCCAACAGGGGAGCAGAAAGAAAGATAGGGCTGAGGAAAGATTGATCATTAGGTCAAATATTTCACGTATTAAAGATGCTAATAATACCTTTTTTTCCCATATTACCCGTAAACATACAGTGTTATAAACTCCTTGATTTGCCCTATTCAAAACATTTAACCATGAGAGTCAATCTAGAACCAAAAATTTGAAATTTTAACTCTAGGCTTAAGTGACTGAATCCAATATTCTGCACCATTCGGTTATTATATGATGTTTTCTTTTGTAGTATTTAATGCAGTACATCTTGCATGTAAATTTTATACTTTAAATTCAGTCCAGGCCACTTTTACAGTGTTTGTAATTCAAACAGACAGATGTGATAACACTTCTTTATTGCACTTCTACACATCACATTTAGTAATTTATTATTATTTTATTTATTATTATTATTATTATTAAACGGTTAATAATAAATAAGTAAACAGTATAATTTACTGTGATTTTAAGTGGTTGTTTTATTATTGGAGTTTTTTTAAGTAAACCTGATGAGACGAATCTGAGACCTGACGGTTCTTTTCAGGGCGGTCCACATTATCTAAGGGTGAAATTCTCGTTCATATCTACTCTGTCTTTATTCAGCAATCATAAACCACCTGACAAACTCTGCCTGTGAGAGGCATATTTTTCTGCAAGTGTTTGTGTATTGTACTCAGGAGGAATACATTTAAAATTGTATGAGGGCACAAGTCAAGTTCAGTAAGTCCCACTTGGATTACTCTGTGGTGTATATTAGACTATGTATACGTTGTGTAATGGATGCATTGTCATGATGCTATGCACCACACAAGTCTGAAGAAGAACTACAAACTTCTAAATTTGAAGTGAATAAATCCATGAAATACAAAAGTATATAACATTTTAAGTAAGACTATCAAATCCATCTTTCACAAGTACTGTTGGTTGGTGTACATGTATATTATTATGTTTGGTGTGTTTGTTACGAGTTGTTTTGTTAAAGTTTGAGATAAATAAAGAAGAAAGAAAAAAAGAATGAATTTGAATCAATGACCATTCCTCTGGAAGCGTCTTAGAAAGCACCTTAGAAGCTGATTCTTCCATTATACATAAAATATTTAAAATGATATTGAAGGTTATTGCATATTTAAGTTAATTTATAATCAAAAGTTCCAGAACAAAGGCAATTATAATGGGATTAATGGCTAAACACATTGCAACACATACTAATGTATGTACTTGGCATTAGTCAAATGTTTTAAAAATATATTTCAGCAATACCCCCCTCATATAATAAATGACAAATCATACTAAGAGTAATAAGTAATTAAATAAATAGTCATGGTCCTTATGTGACATCATATGGTGTGATCATATACATACCTAGGTGTACATCTGGATTATAAATCGGACTGGTCTAAGTATATAGACTTCATCTACAGAAAGGGGCAGAGACGCCTCTTTTGCCTGAGAAGTTTTCTGCAGTCTGCCGGGTAGGAAGCATCAAACACAAAGATGGAAGACGTCTGTATAAACTGGTAAAAAAAAAGGCTGTCTCTGTGGTTGGACTCAGCAGAGGATGTGTGAATAGATCTACACTGAGGAAGGTGGAGACTATTCTAAAGAACGTGGATTAGTTCTTTTGTACCCACAGCTATCAGACTTTAACTCACGTGTAAATAGTAGATGACTTTTTGACATCACAATGGAGCAGCAGACAATTGAGTTTCCCTTAAGGGATTAATGAACTACTGATTCTTATATGTACCACAGAATATAAGGATATGAACCAAGCTAGTTTCGTGTAGCACACACTATTAATATGTATAGAAATACACGCACTGAGTTCTGATGACACCACGACTCAACGTTATAATATAAGGGGGCTAATGAGCGCGATAGTTGAGCATTCAAGACAGTTTCATGGGGAAACTAATATCTTGACACAGTTATTAGACACGTCATGAATTTTTTATGAGTCATCGTTTACGGTCAGGAAAATTATTCTTTTGTTAATTGTGGGCGGCTCTTAAAAGAGCCTTTGGTTTCGGTAAGGTTGGATCAGGATCAGGATCAGATTTAACCTCCAAAGCCGTACAGAGTGCGGCCCTGTCTCTTCAGGGCGTACACCACATCCATGGCGGTGACGGTCTTCCTCTTGGCGTGCTCGGTGTAGGTGACTGCGTCACGGATCACGTTCTCCAGGAAGACCTTGAGGACTCCGCGGGTCTCCTCGTAGATCAGACCGGAGATACGCTTTACACCACCGCGACGGGCCAGACGGCGGATGGCGGGTTTGGTGATTCCCTGGATGTTATCACGGAGAACTTTACGGTGACGCTTGGCGCCCCCTTTTCCGAGTCCCTTACCTCCCTTTCCACGACCAGACATGTTTGCTCCTGGATAAAGCGGCACGTCAAGGACGAATGAGATCCCAGAGCCTGGTGATTGATATTTAAAGCCGTTCTGCGGACGTTAGTGAAGTCTGTAGGCGCGATAGAATTGTCGCTGCAGAAGCACCACCCCCACCTTGTTTTTTTGAAACGCTTCATTGAATTACATTCTCTACTCGTTTTAAACTGCTTTGTTATGATGTAAAACTACTCCCTGTTTTACATACAGCCCCGACGATTTTGTCCGTTTAAAAATTGGAACTCACTTCCTTTCATAATATTGATAAATCAACACTTATCTCAAACAGATAATCTGAAGTAGATTAGGTTAAGGTTGTGTACAAACTTCGCACCATTGTATATTACATTTCTCCACTTGCTTTGAAGATGTGAATTGTACTGTAGAGATGTGTTTCTCATGATAATGGAAGTCCTTGGAATTTACATTGACTGTGTGAATGCTAATAGGTCACTTCTGACACCTCTCCTGAAACTTTCACACTTGATCCTGTTTCTCCACCACCTTCAAACACCAGTCTTCCCCCAGAATTAATTTCTTCTCTCACACATATGTATGTAATTCAGGGGTATTATTTTCAGTGAAGAAAAACCTCTATGAGATCATCCATGTAATCATAATAACTAAAATATTCTCTGTATCGGTTTGATTTATCATATATTTGATTTGTTTGTTATCACAGCCCAAACCTTTCCCAGTCCTCTGCCATATAAATATAAGAATTAAATTGGTTATGAACTGTTCCATCATGATAATCAACTTGTTGGGAATCGTTAGTGTGTGCTTTACCTGTCTGCTCAGCATCGTCACCTGAGGAACACCACCATCACTCCTCCTTACTTAGATGGGAAACAAATTTACCTGCAACAAGATAAGAACATAAAGTATTGAAGCACATTGTAAGGAACTAAAATAAGCTTTTTTTAAACATATACTTTTGAGAAATGCTGTTGCTTTCACCTAACTGTTACTGCATGTGACTTTGTGGATTCATAAATAACTTGTAACTAACAAATATGAGACAAGTCAACTGTAAAAAAAAAAATAATAATAAATATATATATATTTTTTTAAACTAACGGGAGTATAATTTGCAAAGTAACAATAACGATCTGTTTTTTCTTTAATATATATACATTTCCACCAATTTGCCATATAAACATACACTAATTAGCAGAAAATGAAGTGTTAGATGCTGAAAACAAACCATTTTATTGAAGTTCACATCTACTGAGGAGTGAGACATGTGACTCTCAGATGGGGGCTAACAAAGTTTGACAGCCACTGGCAGGAATGTGGAGTCACACAGTATGTGAAGATACTGTATGTGTCACAAACAAATTCCAAAATACTATCTCCAAATCCTCCAGGTACTGATTTGAGTTTTTAAAATATATATTTTGGAGAGCAGCTGACAGGCAGATGCACTGCTTATATGTTGGCGATGCACCAAGAGTTCAGCCCAGGTTTAATTCCAGCCCGTGACCCTTATTCCCCATTATCTGCACTGTCCACTGTCCTGTCCAAATAAAGGTGACAAAAGCCAAATAAATACATGAAAGGTTTCAAAGAGGACAGTATGGATACAGAATTGACATAAATTTGAAATATACACAAATATTACCATTCCATAACTCCCTGCAACCTATTCCCTTTTGAATCCAGAATTGAGTTTAAAATCCTTATTTTTACATATAAAATGCTTAATGGTCGTTCAAGGTTCCGGGGCAGACACCCTCTCAACTTTTAGGGGGAGACTTAAAACATCCCTCTTTGATAAAGCTTATAGTTGGGGTTGATTTGAACCAGCTCTGCCAGGGTTATCTGGCACACTGAGCTCCTGTCTGTCTCTATCTCTCCTTCAGATCTTTATGTCCCATTTAAGTCACTAACCAGATTTCTCCCTCTCTCTGAGTGTCCCTGAGTCTCTTAGCTTCCTCTGGGCTAATGCTGCAAACGGTTGGCTGCTGTGGAACTGCCTGACCCCCACTGCATCTTCTTTGATTGTCCACCTCAGGCCCTGAGCTCCTCCATCTCCATCGCTCCTCTGGACCGTTGCTGCAGACACGTAGTCTAACTGACATCAATAAAATAAATCAGAAGTAAACTGCCATTGAACCTGCCAACTTTAATCACCTTAAATTAATTAATGTGGTCTATAATTAGTTATTCTTCATTCTGTGCATTGAAGTCATTTTCTCCCATCTAATTACTTTTGCATCGTTTATGATTGTCTACTTCAGGCCCTGAGCTCCTTCTTCTCTTAGGCTCCTCTGGACTGTAGACATGGACATCAGCCTCACGGACATTGATAACATAAAGCTAGAGTTAACTACTATTAGGCCTGCCTACTGTAATCACATTCAAATGACTTTAACGTAGTCCATAATTACTCATATCCTAACCCTGTAAACTGAATTCATATTGTTTCATCCTAACATGTGCTGTTGTTTTAATGTTGCTGCTGTCCCCTGTCTCTCATTCTCTTTCTCACCCTTGTTCTCCACTCTCTCTGCCTCCCTCTCTCATACCTATTCTCTCTCTCCTTCCCTCTATCTTTTGCTCTTCCTCTCCCCCTGCCCTCTTTCCTACTCCTCTGTCTGTCTCTCCGTTTATGTATTGATAATTGATCCAACTATGAGCGTGGTCTAGACCTGCTCTTTTTCTTTGGAAAGCGTCTTGGGATGACAACTGTTGTAAATTGGCGCTATATAAATAAAAAGAATGATTGAATTTGATCTGAACCTACTGCAGTGTCAGCAGCCATTAATTTTAATCTTGTTTTGTCAAATTGCCTCTATTACCTTGTTTAATAGTTGTGCTAATACTGTCAGTAGGCTTTCCACTGAGGGTAGTCTTTAATATTAGCATCCTCTCTGCAGATTTGAAGGAGTTGGTTGTCAGTGTATGTGTGCTGAAGCCTATTGCCACAAAATAGACATTAACCTCAAATTATGCTATTATTTGGAGTATAAACAGCATGCTGGTGTCAAAAGTGAAACCATACGACCGGTTTCAGTTCATGGAATTATCTGATACAAAGTTCCTTCATACTTGAGTCACATTTCAAGTATAAAATATATTAGTATAACTGTACAACTAGTACAAACCAGACCAGTACCTTGCTTATGATAAATGTTCTAGAGTCGGATATGTGAGGCAAAATATGTTCACAGTTTCGTGTATCAGCAAAATCTATGACTTTTCTAGAGGAATTTGTTTTCCACATCTGAAACAACATAAATAAGACACAAAATTAATATAAACACAAAAAACTGCCATTACCACACAGTTTTAATTATGAAATAATAAAAAAAAAGATATACATATTAAAAATCTAATTTTTAATGGAAAATCTAAAAAGTGAAATATTATCTTTTGTACATCTACATGTGAACTTGCCCTGATGTGTCACTATAACAGCAGTAGTTTAATATTTGCCTTTTTTGAGGACTGTATTGTCAGTTAAATTAATTTGTCTTACTGTTATATTCTAATTATAGTATTGATATGGTTTAATTTATTCAATTGACTTTCGCACTGATGCAGTAATAATGATGTACATGCCTTTAAACTTGTTTTAATCCTCATCCTGTGATTGTCCATTGGTGAGGTTGTGATGTATATTATGTATTTAATTGTCAGAATAGATTTCATGTTATTGTACAAAATTTTACTGTATGATATTATTATTACCAATTGAAACAATCATTATTCTATGAATCCAAGCAAACACAAAATATGTTTCAGTGCCTCATTATCTTCGATAATATTAAACATTTACACCAGTAGACACATTTGTTGTCATAGTCATACAATCATGTTTGGTATATATGTGTTTGTGTAAATGTCTGTCTGACTGCAAGAATACTGACAGAGCTGCTAACATCAACAGCTATCTATCTATCTATCTATCTATCTATCTATCTATCTATAATGTAATTATCAGTTTGTGTGTTCTCTCAATGTTTTCCTTACCTTTTTTTTCATTGTATGTTCAATATCACTGGCTGCTTTACAATCTAATTTTAGTTAAAGTTTATCTCTACTTTAAGTGAATGTTAAAACTACGCTTAAAGTTATGGTTAAAATGGTTAAGGCCAAGATATTGATGACTTTTAAAATGTGTAACTCCCCTTTCAAGAACACTTCATTGAATACTCTGAATATTTAATCGAACTAAATGTAATGTGTGCTGGTACAGGGCCTGTCTGTGTCAACGGAATTAACTGACTCAGTCATATCAGAGGCCACACAGCTCTTCAAACTGCCTGAAGAGTATTATTTCCAGCAAATAAGGACTTTGTTATAAGCTTGATCGGTTGATAATAAATCAAACTTTGCATCCAGTCTGACTTTGTTTCATCAAGTCCAAACCTGTTCAGTGTAATCAACGACATCTTTGTCATGAGTCATTCTCATAACCCGAGTGTCTGTGTTTACAGCCTGAGAAAAACCCTCCTATTTTTAGAGAACAAAATCACAATATCGTGTCGACCCCTCTTAGTCGTATCGACAGATGCCCCCTCTTGCTGTACAATGATTTCCAGTTTGATACATCTCAATTTTTACTGTTGAGTGCGACGAAATGTGGCGATAAACCGTAGGACCAAGCATCGATTGGCCGAGTTAGGCTGGGTTTTTTGTGCTCCTGAAATCACATAAGCGGGACTTTGTCTTCAGGAGGAGGACAACTTGAATGGGGGCGTTTTTCTAGCAGGTGCTTAAACAATTTGTTTAAATACGTGGTCTCTCACTGAGTTTTATCACCGAAATGTTGAAGAGAAAACACAAACAGTCGCGACTTTTCAGGCGAGAGGGTGAGACTCAGTGAGGATTGACTCTTCACGGTTCTCACCTGTCTTTTATACATTCCGCCTACAGACGTCAACCAGGTACGTTTACTTCAGGAAACACAGAGACAATCATGACAGAGGACGCTCCAGCTGCACCGCCGACAAAGGCCCCGGTCAAGGCCGTCAAGAGGAAGTCTGTTCCCCGGGCGAAGAGCAACGCTCTCTCCCTCTCAAAACTCATTGTCATCGTTGTTGGTGAGTCCAAGGAGAAAAAGGGGATGTCTCTGTCCGCTATCAAGAAGGCCCTGGCCGCCAAAGGGATCGACGTCGTCAAATCAAACAAACGTATCAACACCGCCGTGGTTAGGCTGGTGCGCAATGGTATCCTTGTCCAGTCCAAAGGTACTGGAGCGAGCGGATCCTTCAAGTTGGCCAAGGAGCCCAAGACTGTCAAGACTACAACAAAGGTAGCAAAGAGAGCTCCCGTGAGGGCGAGGAAGCGCGCCGCAGCAAAGAAGGCGTCTCCCAAGAAAAAGGCTCCTGCAAAGAAACCTGTGCCCAAAAAGTCTCCGAAGAAGGTGTCACCAAAGAAAGCAGCAGCAAAGAAATCAGCGAAGAAACCCGCAGCAAAGAGGCCTACCAAGAAGGCTGCCACAAAGAAGGTGGCGAAGAAGGTCGCTCCTAAGAAAGCCTCAGCTAAGAAAACAGCACCCAAAAAGGCAAAGAAGTAAATCTCTAACGCCTGACCTGCTTTAACAGCATCAAGGGCTCTTTTAAGAGCCACTCACATGTCCTCTAGAGAGTGATTCCATGTATTATTGTGTGTACTGTGATTTTCGGAATCGTGTGAAATGGTGTCATAGCTTACAGAGTCATAAAATTTATAGGCTACTTGTAAAGGTGCATTTTCAGAATTAACTGCACATGTGGTCCATACAGGCCTGCCCATGACAGGTCAGACCGGACTGGAGTGGAGTGGAGTGGAGGATACTTAACCTGAAAGCAGTGAAAAGAAAACCACAAAAAGGGGGAAAGTAAAGGGAAAAGTGAAAACACAACATACAGAAAAATGATGATGTGGATGCTCAAATAATAATTATTATTGTGAGTCAGCTAAATAAGAACAAAACAAAGCTTAAATAGCGATTTGCATATCATTTATTTTCACGTATAGTATTCCTATTTGTTTTCAGCTATTGCTTACTTCTAATCATAATTAAGAATATATATATATATATATATATATATATATATATATATATATATATATATATATATATATATATATCCAAAAGGTGGAATAAAACATATAAAAATGTACTTTATTGGGACTTGAAGGGGCAAAAACATGATGACTTTGCATTAATAATATTGCAATAGTGTTAAGACAGAACAGAGAGAAGGGAAAGCTGGTTAATGATGTTGGAGATCAGAACATGAACTTTGGTTGAACTGTTTAAACATGAGCATAAATATTATCAATTAAAAGTATTTTTTTTTCTTTTATTTCTGTTTCTATGTGTGCCCTTTTTTATTAAGTACACGCGTCTGCCATAGTCTAGATTATGTTTGCCATTATCCAGACTGTGTAATAAGCTAATAGTTAAAAAACGAGAAGAAGAATACGATATAATATGGGCCTGACTCTGAGTATAATAAACCTTGTGTGCGGTTGACTGTTTTACACGCCTTGTCTCTTTTGCTTTCCTTCTCTGAGTTTGTCCGTTAAAGTTTGAATTTCTTGGCCAATAGTTGACGAGGACGAGTGCGCGGGTCTTTTGGTCTGGACCAATCGGAGGGGACCCCGCGCCGGCTCTCTAGTATAAAGCTGCTGCTGCCGCCCTGGTCTGCATTCATCCTTTCTATCGCTGAAGGAAACTCGTGAACAATGGCAAGAACTAAGCAGACAGCCCGTAAATCCACCGGAGGCAAAGCCCCCAGGAAACAGTTGGCTACCAAGGCCGCCCGTAAGAGCGCTCCAGCCACCGGCGGCGTGAAGAAGCCTCATCGTTACAGGCCCGGTACTGTGGCTCTGAGAGAGATCCGCCGTTACCAGAAGTCCACTGAGCTGCTGATCCGCAAGCTGCCCTTTCAGCGTCTGGTGAGGGAGATCGCCCAGGACTTTAAGACCGACCTGCGCTTCCAGAGCTCTGCCGTCATGGCTCTGCAGGAAGCCAGCGAGGCTTACCTGGTGGGTCTGTTCGAGGACACCAACCTGTGCGCCATCCACGCCAAGAGGGTGACCATCATGCCCAAGGATATCCAGCTGGCCCGTCGCATCCGTGGAGAGAGGGCTTAAAGTCTCACACCCGACCAACCCTGCAACCCAACGGCTCTTTTAAGAGCCACTCACAACCACTGACAGAGCAACTTTACCCTTGTTCACATGCATTTTCAAACTTCTGAAGTACTAGACATGTATTAATATACTTTTCCATGTAATATGTTCACGTAGCCTGCGTTACATCTTTTTACACTTTGTTGTGTGTCGCTGTGTTTGGTTTGAAAACGGCAAATGTTTAGGTAGTATAATTAAGGTTAATATTTGATGAACAGATCAGTCATATTAGGTAGGTAGTTTTTTTTTTTTTTAACATTAAGTAGTTTTTTTACAGGTTATATTGATTATAACAAATACTGGTGGCCTGGTTATGTTTGGTCTTTTTCTCTAGCACTCTGGATTCTAACTCTAACCCTTAATGAATTCACATTACAAATTTACACACCACAGCCATGGGAAAGAAATGAACAATGCGTGTGAAAATAGGCGGCACGTCAAAGCCACATTCGTATCTTTAATTAAGTTCTAATTACGCTTTAAAGGTCACAAGTCTGAGACAGACTCTGCACGAACCCAGGAGTGTATTTCTGGGCAAGTTGTCATTTGTCGTTATAGTAAACAGAGCAAAGCATGAGCTTCAGGCGAACTCCCGAGAAATACAGGATCCTTCTGTTTTTGGCAGACGAGACGAATCTGAGATCAATAGGCTGCGCATCCATGATTCATATCATTATTCCACCTCAATTTTGAATAATCCCAGAGAAACCACAAGTTGTTTTTTCTTATATGACAAGATAAGGCTCATTAATTGTAAGTGGGTGGCTCTTAAAAGAGCCGTTGTTTTATCACATCCCCTCAGGATCTTCACTTCTTGGCAGCTTTCTCAGTCTTCTTGGGCAGCAGCACAGCCTGGATGTTAGGCAACACTCCTCCCTGGGCGATGGTCACTCCGCCGAGCAGCTTGTTCAACTCCTCGTCGTTGCGGACGGCCAGCTGAAGGTGACGGGGGATGATACGGGTCTTCTTGTTGTCACGGGCGGCGTTTCCGGCCAACTCCAGGATCTCAGCGGTCAGGTACTCGAGCACGGCGGCCAGGTAGACGGGGGCTCCGGCACCGACACGCTGAGCGTAGTTACCCTTCCTCAGCAGCCTGTGGACACGACCCACGGGGAACTGAAGCCCGGCGCGGGATGATCGGCTCTTTGCCTTGGCTCTTGCCTTTCCGGCTCCCTTTCCGCGTCCAGACATGATTTCAGTGTTCTCTCAAGTTTCTAAAACGAGAAGAAAGTATGCAACTGTTTGTTCGCTCTGCTTATATAGGACTCGAGCCCGCCTTTCACGAAGCTGATCCAATCAGAGTAGAGCTCATATGGCGCTGCTTAGTTATCACATGACAAATGACGCTACACAGTGAGTAGCGGTGACACAGTGGACCATATCTCCTTTATGTGTGGAATTAAGATAATATAAGACTACACTTTCACTTAATAAATTGAAGATATCAGAGTATTGTCACTCCCTACATCGAATTAAAGACCAGATCTGACTCAGGCACGAAGACACAAAAACCCTTTTGATTGAGTAAAAAGTTTGATTCCATTATTATTACTTAGTGTCATGTTATGGTCTCTGCCTGGATTATGTGTGCCATTGAGTTTATACCCTTGGTGGTCTTCACTAAATGACATCTTTCAATCGCTTCTGCTTAAAAAACACAGATTTTTAGGAGCCATAATTATATGAATTATATAAAATCAGGGGGAGTGGAGTACGGATACCAATGGTGGGTCTTTGTGGGTGAGGGGGACATGTAGAGCATAGACTTGTACTATGATGGTATAGTAAAATTCAAATAATAAATCAATCACTTAAAATCAGTGATTTTTACAGTTATTCCTAAATGTTACAATTATAGGCAACGGGGCATTTACCATATGATCTGTTGAAACTATGATTAATAGTTGGCCGACTGTATGTGGCACCCTGTTGCACCCTTTTTTCTCTCTATCGTTTTGAGAGTATCTATAATGTATCAGAAAAGTGAGAACACAAGTTTATCAAACCATTAAGAAAAAAAAACGAAATGTTTTACTACAGCTAATCCTGCAGTTAGTATTCATAAGCGATGTTACCTTTAGAGGACAGAAAGAATACTTAAGTGACTGGCTCGCCAGTTTATGACAACTATAACTTTAATTCCTTAATGACTCAGTGGTCACAATCAAGTTATCACAATCCGGTGTTCTTTGCAAGTGTGAGCATGATTTTCTGTTTTGCCTCCAGCATGTTTTCACTTCCGCCACACAAGGCCTTCATTAATGGCTTCCATCATGTTCATGTCACTTGAGTGGATTAACAATTCGGCTAATATGGTACGAAATGATATAAAGGTATCATTAAAATCATTATATCATTATGTGGGTGGTCCTTAAAAGGACCGTTGAGCTTCAATTTCGACATCTGTGCACGGCAACGGCAACCCTGTCTCACTCAAGTAGTGACACTTGCTTATGTACTGTTCATTTTGGTTAGTTATATACTTTTCGTACTCTGCGATTGTAGTACTACAAACATCACCGTGTTTCACAAAATTATGTGATCAGGAATGCACTCTCAGATTATGTGGGTGGTCCTTAAAGGACCTTTGAATTTTCAAATCTTCAGCAGATTTACTTGGAGCTGGTGTACTTGGTCACAGCCTTAGTACCCTCAGACACGGCGTGCTTAGCCAGCTCTCCGGGCAGCAGCAGACGGACGGCGGTCTGGATCTCCCTGGAGGTGATGGTAGAGCGCTTGTTGTAGTGAGCCAAACGAGAGGCCTCACCAGCGATGCGCTCAAAGATGTCACCGACAAAGGAGTTCATGATGCCCATAGCCTTGGAGGAGATGCCTGTGTCGGGGTGAACTTGTTTCAGCACCTTGTAGACGTAGATAGCATAGCTCTCCTTTCTGGTCCTCTTTCTCTTCTTACCGCTCTTGGTCGCCTTAGAGACGGCCTTCTTGGAGCCCTTCTTCGGTGCTTTCACTGTATCAGGCATGGTCGATTTGGTCTGTCGACTAACACAGAACGGTTCGTTGTAGCTGTGAGCGCTGGGTTTTATAATCCCATGATGCAAATTTAGCTGTGCTGTCCCTGCTACGAGATTGGTCAATTACTGACCATTCCTGAGCGCGTGCTGAAGACAAAGCGCCCCCCTCCTCTCGATGGAGAGAAATCTTTCCCTCCGTTTCTTTTGTTCGCGAATTTCCCTCGTTTTCACCACAGTAAAAAATGGTCAGCGTGTAAATCTGAAAAAACTCAACCATTTATGGGCCCAAAACCTTGAAACAAAGATACAGTATATCATCATGTAGGGGAATTAAACAGTGAACACAGCAGAGTGAGGCACATATCAAACATGTATAAACTCTATATGCCTGCTTTCCATTTAGTATTTGTTTCAGCCCGAT